AAATGACATACAAAGAACTCATTGCGAGAGCAAATCGATTTAAGCATTATACATATCCTTCATGTTCACAGGGTAACAGCTATAAAACAAAAGGATGTGTTACTTGTGTCATATTGATCTGTCGCCTTACTGAGAAAGAAGCCCGAATTGTTCCAACTAATTTAGCATCTGTTCCCTGGCATTAATATTATCAGCTTGTCTGTAGCTTTCCTAGAGTAGACATGCCTTACATACTTTCCTATAGGTCATAGTTTTCCACTTGGTTTTGCTCAACAGCTGGCACCCAGGCTCCTTCCTGCAACTGAGAAGTCGTTCATCTTCTCACTGTGGTCCGTAGAGGCTTACTCACAGAACACTTACAATCCCTCCTTAGTAACCTGACCCTGGAGATGTGAGTATAAGTATACAGCACACACTGCTAAACTTGACATAAGGTTTTCTCCCAGGCATCATGTGACAGCTGAAATTCTGTGATAGAGCATGCCACTTAAGACCCATGGGGGTTAAAATAAGGTAGTAACTCATTTTTAAGATTTAGGATAGGGGATGCTGCAATGCCCTATAAACCGGAGTACAGATTACAGACAAACGTGGATATTAAAATACTTTTTCCTAAAGTCACTTGATCACTTTTCACAGATGTTCATTCTTGGACAGCTTCCCTTCATTAGTAACAACCTTACTCCAATAAATGCAGATTGCCAGTTGAATGTACTTAACCCCTTAAGGACACATGACATGTGTGACATGTCACGATTCCCTTTTATTCCAGAAGTTTGGTCCTTAAGGGGTTAAACACGGTTCTATGAAATTTACTGATGAGATTATTTTTGTTAGACAATTATCGATTTATGGATTAATTGAAATTAAGTTGGCTGCGAGTTTGACTGTGTTAAAGGGACTCACTAAGCACTCTACCCATATGCGCTCCCTGTAGTAGTGGTGATGGTACAAGAAGTCCACCATTATACATGCATAGTTACATAGTTACATAGCTGAAAAGAGACTTGCGTCCATCAAGTTCAGCCTTCCTCACAAATATTGTTGCTGTTGATCCAAAAGAAGGCAAAAAACCTGGTCTGAAGCGCTGCATAGTTATTCACTGAACTCTGAATTTTAGCAAATTAAAACCCAATGGCAAAATTGAGGCTAAAATTGCAAAGCTGGGGCTGGACTGCCATGATGACTGTCCGCAAGTAAGCTCGACTCCTGAAGATTCTGGGCTTCAGCAAAGTTTGCAGCAACTATTATACGCCAGGTACTTGGGGCTCTTTTTGAGCAAGTGTCTACAAGTGCTGTTGTGGCACCCTGGAACAGGTGATTTGGAGTCCCTGAAGGTGAATCGAGACCTCTAAGACTACGGCCTACGCAGGCAGAGAGTGGGGGTGGAGGCCCGCCGCCCAGCTCTCTTGTTCTGCACTGGCCCTTGACATCGAACACTTCTGGAAACGCTGGAAAACCCTCTTCCATACTACACAGAGTGACTGGCAGGAGGGAGCGATCTGCGCCCACCTTCTCCCGGTCACTCTAACCTAGCGCCCCTGGGCCGGTGCGCCCTAAGGCGGCCACTTGGGCTGCTTTATCGATGCGCTGGCCCTGGACAGGGTGGCAGTTGACCCTTGTAAAGCTGGAAATGTTGTATGTAATTGCACACGTGCGGCAGAAATTGTGTCATAATGGATTGCCCACAGAGGGCTGTATATAATGTATGGAGTGAAAGCCTAGTGAGGGCCGTGTGTAGAGGTATTGCAGCGGAAGGCCAATATTACCAAATGTAAGTCTTGAGCTGCCAGGTGTATAATAGGATGTATGTAAAGTAATAATTATGGCATGAACAAATGTAGGTTAATTGTACCAATGTTGTAGAAATGGACTGTGAATTGCGTATTGGACAGTAGTGATGCTCTGGTATTTGATCTGGTTTTATTTATTTATTTTTATTTGTACACTGATGTGGTGTACTTAAAGGACCACTACATACTAGTTTTCCTGGCACTATAGCGCCCTGAGGGTGCCCCCACCCTCAGGGTCCCCTTCCCGCCGGGCTTTAGGGGGTGGAAGGGGTTAAACTTACCTCTTTCTCCAGCGCCGGGGGGGGGGGAACTCTCCTCCTCCTCGGCTGAATGCGCATGCGCAGCAGGAGCAGCGCACGCATTCAGCCAGTCCATAAGAAAGCGATCTCAATGCTTTCCTATGGACGCTGGCGTCTTCAGTGAGAAGCGCGGAAGCCCTATAGCGGCTGTCAATGAGACAGCCACTAGAGGCTGGATTAACCCTATGAAACTGCTGTTTCTCTGAAACTGCTATGTTTATAGAAAAAAGGGTTAATCCTAGCTGGGCCTGGCACCCAGACCACTTCATTAAGCTGAAGTGGTCTGGGTGCCTATAGTGATCTTTTAAACACAGTATAATAGGACAATATATAACCCCCGAGTGACAGGAAGACCAGAATTAGGTTGTAGCTGTAAGCCCACCTGGGACCGTTTGAAGTTTATGTAAGTGAAGGCATAGAGATCTGTGTGTCAAGGTATAGGAGTAGAAGGCAGAGATAGCTCATTGCGATTCATGAGTAGCAGGGTAGCCATTAAAGGGCAGTATGAGAATTAGCGGGAGTATGAAGTAATAGGATGTGGGTTGGTTAATGTTTGTTGAGCTGTGGAGCAGTTGCAGTTTACACACAGTGATGCAAAATGACAGACCTGCTACATATGATAATGGGTATATAACCAACTTGACCCATGAGAGGCAGGAATGGTAGGACTGTTAAGTAAGGAATAATTGATGACAGGCCGTTGAATTATTAGAAAAATAATGCACACCTGAGGCGGTAATGCGATCACAACGCGAAGCGGCTGTTACACCTGCATTATTTTTCTAATACTTAAACGGCCTAGAGTCAATTATTCCGCTTATACTACAGTTACCCAGGGCCACCATCAGGGGGTGGCAACCATGACGGTTGTCACGGGCCTGGTGGCCCTGGGGGGCCCAGCCCTTGGAGCGGCGAAACTGCCGCAGGTGCATCTGCACCGGGGCCCATCAGGTGACCAAGCATTTAGGGCCACCCGATGGGTCCTATATCTTCAGGGGCCTGGTCAGCGCTGCGGCCGTGTAATTGCGCAACCGGGCCCCTTTTAAAAAAAATTGCGACTACACAGCAGTTGCTGCTGGGAGGAAGTGACGGCCGGTCACTTCCTCCCAGCTTACTCCGCGCGGGGGGAGAGGACAAGAGAGGAGAGCAGAGGACACCAAAGGCATCCGCTCCCATCATCCCCAGCCACCCTCCTGCAACTTAAAGGTAAGAGGAGGGTGTGTGTGTGTGTATATGTATGTGTCTGCAAGTATGTATGTCTGTGTGTGTGTGTATGTCAGTATGTATGTGTGTATGTATCTATCAGTATGTATGTCAGTATGCATGTATGTCTGTGTGTGTGTATGTCAGTATGTCTGTATGTATCTGTGTATGTATATATCTGTGTATATGTCTGTATGTATGTATATCAGTATGTGTATGTATGCCATTATGTATGTATGTATTTATGTGTATGTATGTATGTCTGTATGTCAGTATGTATGTATGTGTCAGTATGTGAATATGTATGTATGTCAGTGTGTGTGTCTGTATGTCAGTATGTTTGTGTGTGTATCTGTGTATGTGTCTATGTGTGTATGTCTGTTTCAGTATTTGTGTCTGTTAGTATGTGTGTATCTTTCTGTGTGTGTGTATTCCTGTGGGTGGGATTTGGAGGCGTGGCTTGGAGGCGGGCACCCCGGGGGGCCCAGTCCTAAAGCTGTGTTAAGGGCCCAACAATTTCTGATGGCGGCCCTGCAGTTGCCACACCTCAAAACATTGTTCAGATGATGTATTTCAAGAAGTTTGTCAAGTTTTTGTCATTAAACGCTCTTGTATGTAGCACTAATTTCTTACGCATCAATTCCCATGCCTTCGTTGCTAATTACTAAGAGTTAGTAACGGAGATTCGAGCCACTGATAGCAGACTAATGCAGCTAGAGACAGAGAGAGGTTGCAATAATGAGACAGAAAAGCATGTGCGTCAATATTCAATGAATTTATTAATTTATTAGTTTTAGTTAATTTGTTAATTTTATTTTTCTATTATTGACAGTAGGCTGTAACGAGAACCCGTGCAGCAGGACTATCTACTTATGTATATTCAGTTCAATTTTCTATTGATTATAGATAGGACTATATACTTTATTTTAATTAAACCGCACATTTCCATTGATTGTGAAGTTAGACATTGAAAATGGCAGATCAAGCGCATGGGGCTGCGTGTTAGCAGAGGTTTTTTTTTCCTGGTGATCCTTGGCTTGATTTTCGTTTGTACTTTTGTTTCCTGAGAGGATCAAGCTCCATTTCTTTCTTTCTGTAGCAGAAGGTGCCCAGTAGCTTCTCAGGCTTGTTTCCCACTTGTGCCCTGTGACAGACATGATCTGCCTACTCTCCAGCCCTGCTTCTGACAGCATTTGAACTGCAGTGCTTTTTCCGTTATTACAGTTGACTAAGATATGGAGCTATAATGCGGTCAAGACCTGTCTGGAACTACTTTAGCCATGTGTCTTCCTGAAAATAATGCACACCTTAGAACGTTCGTCAACCAATCAGATTCAAGCATTCAACGGCCCTGCAGTATAATTAGAGATAATGATGAGACTCTTGAGTAACATGGCACTGATCGTAGCAGGTTGTCCACTGAGGGCCATATGAGGCATTTGTTGTGGAAGGCCAAGTGAGGGCCTAATATATACATATATGTGATGTTCTGCATCCATCATGTGAACTTAATAATTTCACTTGTTTTGCATGAACGTTTGTGCCTTTAAAAAAAAAAATTATATTCTCTAAATGTATGCAGTTTTCACTGTTTAGCACACCCTTCACTTTCTTACGATAGTGAAGACACAAATGACGGTCCAACAAAACTATACCTAGATGCAGTGTGGCCAAATGAGGACCTAATGAGAAGTTTACAGGTGCATAATGATACAATTAAATGGGGTTTAATAAATGTTGACTAAGTGGCTACTAAAAAAGACTGAACATACCCCATTTGCAATACCCTGGGTTGTCTACTATTGCAAATGGTATGCCATCATGGGGGTAATTTTCATTCCTGGGCTACTGTACGGTCTCAAAGGCAACATAACCAACCTGGTGAATTTTAATGTGAAAAAACTGAAACGCAAGCCTTATATTTAACTCTGTAACTTTTGAAAACACCATTAAACCTGTACACGAGGGAACTGTTATACTCGGGAGACTTCGCTGAACACAAATATTAGTGTTTCAAAACAGTAAAATGTATCACAACAATTATATCGTCAGTGTAAGTGCCATTTGTGGGTGAAAAATTCAAAAAATGTCACTGACGATATAGTCGTCGTAATACATTTTACAGTTTCGAAATTTTACTTCCGAGTAAAACAGTACCCCCCATGTACAGGTTTTAGGGTGTCTTGGAAAGTTACAGGGTTAAATATAGTGCTAGCAAATTAAATTCCCTGAACTTTCAGCTGTCAGGCAGGTCCTGCAAATTGTAATTAATAAAATGACCTAACTATGTAAAATTATTACATAAATATATATGTAGAATTATTATATATATAATTTTTTAAAATTATTCTTATTTAAATATATAGGTATATACTTATGTATATAGATATATTATTTCGCTCTACATGTATTTTGATATCAACATTATATATATATATATATATATATATTTTAAAATTGAACGAAATTACACATGTATATATATATATTTTTTTTATTATTTAATTTTATTTTTTAACGTATTTACATATTATATATATAATGAAAATTATATATACATTTAATCAATATCATTGTATGTGTACTTTGATATTAATATATATATATATATATATATATATATATATATATATATATAATTATATATATATTAATATTAAAATACACTTAAGACAGTGTATGTGTATATATACTTAGATCATATATATAATAAATATATATATATGATCTAAGTATACATAATTTAATTTTCAACTGTTTTAAACTGTTTTATTTATTGTTTTCAGGCAGCAGGGGGAGTACCTGTCATTACAGGCACTCCCCCTGCTGGTAATGCCTTGTACGGCTATGCCGTCCATGTGATAATCAGGTCCTCGCAAGGACCTCGTGATCACATGGCCCACGGGGGCCAAAGAGGACGGAGGGGGACTCCATGGGCTCCTAGGTGAGTCTCCATACCGCGTTCGCCGGTGTGGGATCGCTGGCGACCGGGTAAGTATATAAGATCGCAGGGCGTTCTATGCCGCCCTGCGGCTTTTAGAGCCATCCAAATAAGGACGGCATAGAACGCCCTGCGGTTTTAAGGGGTTAATCAATGTAGTGGACAGTGAAATAAGATTATTAACAGGCAGTACCATAAATGCTAGCCACATGTATAGGCCCAAGTTTGGGCCTGACATAAATTTAGACAGTCAGTTGCAACACCTAGCCATATAATTACTAAACAATGTGGACCCAACTAGTGCCTAAAAACCCTGATGGCAGACATATAGAATACATATAGGTACAGAGGCTGGTAGAGGCCTGGTGAACATAAGTGACAAATGCTGATCTGCTCAAAACTGACAAGCATCACCAAGGCCGTATGGGCCGACACTAATAATCTGCAAATATGAAAAACTAAATATATGGCATAGCATTAAATATTAAAATGCAGGGTGATTACATGAATTGCATATGATAAAATTGATATGGCCAAATGATGGCCGAATACAGTAAGCAGAATGCATGACGCTAATTGAGGTATCACTATGATGCTATGTATGATTAAAATAGGCAAAATTTGCGTTAGTATCCTTATGACGTCAGAATATGTACTGAACTGTGAATGCCAACCTAGTTAGTGAAAGGCTGAACATGGGGCGAATACATGTTGAATGTCATGGACAGTGTGGCCCAAAGCTGGCTGAATAAACAAATGTACAATTTGCACACAGCAACAGGAAAAGCCGTGGCTGGGCCGGACGCGGCAGTGCACCATTAGCTGCAAAGGAGGCGGCTGTATTTTTACTAGAGTGAGGCGAAATTAATACTCGTATGGGTTACACTAGGCCAAGACCAGCTTGTTTGCAGTTTGTGTTGATGATCTTTGAACCAGAAGTAGATGGTTCTGTACTGATCCAGGCAGTCTGAGCCCAGAGGAAGAAGGGGTCTGTGTATTTATAGGCCAGTTTACTCCTCCCACAACTACAGGCTTCGCCCAATGGCTCAGCCTTCTCATTATATCTTTATTTTTACAATTTAGGCCGAAATTGCTGAACTGGACAAAATCTCTGCTCAGCTATTTTTGTCAAAGATTTACAATTCCCTTGTTGGATCTTAAAAACCCTGGATAATTCACAAAAATGTGATTTTCGAGGGAAAAGGTTTACGTCAAATTAGCCAAACTGAAAACATGGGCGATTTGGAGAATTTTTCCAGTTCGCAATGAGGGGATAACATTTCTAGAATTAAATTGACAATTACAGAAGAAATGAAGCTCAACATTTTTACATATTTTTTTTCTTCTTTTAGCGACTATAAAACTGTAGGTTTAGTTACATATTTTAGTTCTAGTTAGTTAGATAACATACTATTGTATGAAATACATTTCTACTTACTGCTACATACAAAAGAGAATTTATTATAAGCGTTATAAGCGTTAAGCTCAGAAAATGCTTCAATATCACCACTAGATGGCAGTTTATGAATGTAGCATAGCATTGAATTGGTAGGTTTCACATATTCCAAGTATAAAAATTATCTTTGCGTTACCTGCAATATATTCAAATATCGCCATAATTCTGCAGAATTATCATTGCTATTTCAGGATTTTTTTTTTTACCAATGACTTCTAAATGCTATAGAAAACCTCTTAAATACAAGAATAAATTCCTATACCATGCATTCTTTTAAATACCACCTTTCACTATTCTTAGCCCTCCAACAGAAAGATTACACTGCAATGATGTCACATTCCATAGTTGGCATGGAAAATCACCACTGCATGACATCACAATGGCCAATCTAACTTTTACCATAAGCAGGACAATGGAGGCTTTGAAATGTATTTACCTAGAAAGATCAGTTTTGGTGACACAAAAACCTTGATCTGCAATCATACATGCAAATGTTAAATGGAAATACAACACCCTTCTTTTAGCAGTATATGAAAGGATACTGCAATAGTACTGACACCATCATACATATAAACGACATCATATGGCAAGGCACACAATTTCAAATCATGCTATTTTGATATGGCCATTGAATATGTTACTGTTCCTTTAAACTGTCAGAATGACTCCGGGTTTTGCACTTGATAATGGAATATATTCTGGCAGTTGTTTTTTTTTTAAAGAGGTGATTTAACCTTTTTCTATTCACTTTCTATGTTTTACTCTCCATGCAATAATTTACCAGGGTGTGATTTGAAGCAGTAGAAATGATCCCAGCTCCACTGTGTTTCCATCCATAACGTCTTCCTGAACTGCCTTGTATGTTAAGGTGTCAGGAATTGTTTTCCTATGATAACCTACCAGCAGGCCCACATGTATATGTGTTCACCGATATCACACAGGGGGGGTCAGAGACATTTACTAAATAGTAAAATGAAAGAATATAATAATAATAATAATAAAATAAAATAAAAAGCAAATTTGAAATTTGATATGGGGAGTTCCTCTGAGATATAGGGCCTGCAGGTAGCTGCTTACTCAAATATATAGCCTAATGTGCATCAGAAGCCACTTTGTGGCAGAGAATTTTTGCATTTGTAGCAAACTGGAGTATTAGCAATCACGCACACTAAAATAACCCTGACAGTTATGAAAAATAAAAGCACAACTTATAGCACAAAGCTGTGTCATTGCACTTCCTCAGTAGTGAAGTGAGCTCTATTAATGGAACATTACAAGAACCATGACCACTATAGCATACTGTAGCGATGAGAGTGCCAGGAGAACCGTGGTGTCCTCCACGTATAAGTAGGCAAACTGTTTGAGAACACTTCGACAACTTACCTGGGGTCTGCTGAGAACCTCTGAATCCCAGGTAAGCAATCAAGCCTTTCTTACATGGTTTGACGTTTTACACTGGAAGGGCACCAGTAGGCTGTAGTGGTTATGGTATTTGGAGTTTTCCTTTAAGTGAACAATTTAACAATAAAAATAGACATTCAGTTTTAATGACAGCGTTCCATATCTGGAATACGTCTCCCCCTTTTCAAAGCAGCCACTCCTCCCACAGTGAGATCATCTGTCCGGATGATCTCCAGTTCAAATCAATGCTTTTCCCTTTACTTCCTTGTACTTTTTTGGGAGTTTTAGATCAGCCTTCACCCTCTGGTACAATAACCAAATAAATACATAATAACCTGATGCTGTAAATAACCAAACTGTTGCTGAATACAAAGTATATTTGTAAAATAACAATTTAGCAAAATATACCTATTTGGAATTATTATACATCTTTATATTATTCGCTCCAGATATACATATAGGTTAGCAGTGACAAGTTAATGATAAAAACCCCAAATGCTATTCTGCTGACTTCAGGTGTCATGTTGGCAAGTTTATTAGGACCATAGGACATTTCACATTATCCATGCTTTCCTATGGGGGAAATACTAATGAGAGCATGTCCATTGCCGTGCATGTGCATTAGGTCTCCCCCGCCGCCAGGAGCAGAGGTGAAACCTGAACCAGCGCTGAGGGACATCAGTGCTGGACTCGGGTAAGTGACAGAAGAGTTTTTAACCCCTTCTGCACCAAGGGGTGGGGAGGGGGCGCTGCGCGACAAAGGTCTGGCACTATAGTTTCCCGTTAAGAAAGACACTATGGAAGGTCATCAAGATTGCATTAAAAGCTGTATTTGATTACCCTGTCATATGATCAATAGTCATCTAGTATACAAACTCCAGTCCAGAGGGCCTCAAAAAACACCAGGCTTTCAGATTAATAAACTTCATTATGATGGCTCCAGATCAAATCAAATTTTAAGATTAGCACTTTGACTACACATAAAGGAAAGAAATCTAAAACCGGGACAGGATATGGGCCCTTGAGGATTCAGTTTGTAACCCTAATATTGAATAAAACAGATAGGAAGGTACATCCAGCATAAAGTACTTCAAGCAGATCTGATGATTTGAAAATGATTTTCATCACAAAGAATGAGCTTTTAAATAAACAGTCCTGAGCACCCTGACATTTGGTCTAGAATTGATGATCTCTAAGTCCATGTGCAAGGAACCAGCCATATTAGTTGGAGTTCAGTAGCACCACCAGTTGGAGGACTATTTTGAAGATTTGGTATGGTGTAGTAGGCATATAATTACCAGCCCTCAGTCTTAAAAGGTCTATTTTGGCCTCCAATGATTAACATATCAAAACTGATGACACTCTGAAAGATGGTTTGCAGAACATGACCAAAGTATTTTGACACATGGATCCCTGATTAGTGCAAATAAGCAGAAAAATCCAGACTGGTAGAGAACGTTTAGCAAACAAAATCCTAAAGTCCCATTTTCAGACGTATCTTCATACGGTTCATCTTTCTATCACCCTTTCCATTAAATTAAAACAAATACAATTAAATGTAAAAAAAATATATATAAAATGACACTATAAACAAGTCACAAATTACACAAGTTTGTGAATTTTCATTCTCAATAAATATGTGCCACAATCATTAACAAGAGTTATTCAAGTTCTGTATTTCTCTCATTTGTTCCTGGATAGAGCTGCTACATAAAGCATAAAGCTTGATCCCCTGGGTGAAGACAACATGCTAAAGAACATAAGTCCATGAGAACTTCTTTGCCAAGCAGAATAAAGCTACAGATGTCATGTGATGTACGTGTTTTAGCCATCTTTTTTTTTTGCGATATTGTAGCAACAACAGAGGCTGCTCATGCATACAGCCGATAAGGTGAAATTGCACTCCTTTGTGATGTTCCAAATCCCTGAATTTGAGAGATGCTGTTGCTTGTCATACCACTTCATCAGACTCCAACCCATGTTCTTCATACAAAGAGTCCAGAAGGCAGAGGTGCTTCTCCATGGCAGGTAGGTAGATGTTCAGATCTCTCTGCATGGCATCAAAGAACTCCCCACTGCCTTCTTTAACAGTAAGAGCAGCAACAAATCCATTGTATGACGGGGCTGCTCTCAGGGCCAGCTGTAAGTAGAGTTAAACATGAGTTTTAAATCCCAGTTGGTTACTAGAATGATTCAGCTCTCTCTCATATACTCCTATCTCGCACTGCACCTACCAAATGATTTTTTTCTACTCAATCACTGCTGACCATTTAATGCTTTTATTTCCTTAGCCCCAAACCTACAAATTATTGATAAAATGTACCCCTTTATCTCCCCAACAAACTTCAGATTGAGCTCTAATACACAGCTATAACCCTCTAGCTATTGGAATGTAGCGGCTTCCCTTGAAATGTATGTCATGTTTTCATGGTTCCCCAACATAACCACAGATAACTATTTTATGACACGGGTCAATATAAAAAAAACATTACAAAAAAACCAAACCAAAACTATCACCGACAGATCCACTCATCCCTATGTGCTAAAATCTGAAAATGCATTCCTCATTGCTATGTTTGCACATAATTCTAAGATCTATCATTTGGGTGGAAGTGCATTAAATCCAAATCACAAAGCATTTGGTTCTGGACAGTTACCGGAATACATTGCAGTCATTAGGACCAGATCATAATGCTAAAAAGGAAGATTCAGTTCTTGTGACAATAACTCACACCTTAAAGACTCAGTGAAATGGGGTGCTCTTCCCTAAGGAATATGCAAAATACTAGGTGGATTACGACTCAAAACAAAATAAATAAACTGCTACGATTTCTCCAAACCTTCGTTTCTACATAACTCTATAATGTGCTTTTTCTTGGAAATCAGATAGGTCTCTAAAGTCTAAAAACCATATTCATCCACAGACCATACAGTAATAATGCACTCACCGCAAATACACCACGGACAACCCAGCCGTGATATTGGCTTAATGTTTTACCATATGCGTTACCTAGAAACATAGAATGAAATAACTGGTTATGTTTACATTCAGTTACAAAACAAGTTCCTTCTGTCACTACTTCTCTAGAGAGATTAGCTTATTCCCACTAGAGACTATTCAATTTGGTAATTACACTACATGCCCAAAGGTAACTGGACATCTGATCATAAAAGGGTCTTACTACAAAGTCATGGGCATTACCATGAAATTTTCATGCCCTCTTGCTGCAACAGGCACGTCTAGGAAGGCTTTTAAATTGATGCTGAAACACTGCTTACATTGAGCATATGAGCATTACAGATGACAGGCACTGAGGTTGTTAAAGTTTCAATGAAGGTAAGATTCTGGCCAGAGCTGTCCATTACAAAAATAAGAAAGTGCACTCAAAAACAGCAAGGTGAAAGCAGGCTCTAACACTTAAGTGAAGGAATCCCTTAACCTTCACAACACAGTACATGCAAACAGAACAAAGTATAAGTGGAGCTCTGGTTTACCTGTACAAACAGTAGTATAATCTAGGTGGACAAAAATGCTATTGCAATAATCTGTAAATAAATAACAATAACTCTTAGTGCAGATGGTAGTCACAAATTCGAATAAATGAGAGATAAATTGTACTAAGAGTTATTGTTATTTATTTACAGATTATTGCAATAGCATTTTTGTCCACCTAGATTATACTACTATACATACATAAAACAAGTGGAGCTTTTAAATTTCAGCAGGCTTTCTGTGAAAATAAAATACAAACAGAAAATAGTGCAATATGTCTGTAACACACTATATCAACAATAGATTGGAAGATATGTCAAACTCACAAGCCTGGAGTCATACCCTCATATGACTCTGGTGGTATAAGCCTCTGGACCATTTGGGGGTTGTCCAGACCCTTCTTTGGCAGCGTGTTGAATGTTGAGTGGTTCCTTTTGTGCCCTTCTAACTGGTTTCAAAATAGGGATAATACCCAGTGTGTCAGGGTTCTTTAAAAAACAATTTATTCCAAAAAATTATACAAACAAGATATATATAGTAAAAAAGAATACTTATCCCAGGTAGTACTGGGTAGACTTAATAGTCCCAAGTTCAAAGTGATAGTCCAAAACGCGTTTCGCCTTTTCATAAGGCTTCCTCAGTTGGCTGTTCTATTTTCCGTCTGTTCTAGTGGCTTTTAAATGCCTCGTTTGCCGGTTTCACTAGTTCCGTCTTTTACTTCCGGGTTTCGTCACTTCCGGTTTGCGTCTTTTTGGAACGCACCGTGCGTTCCAACATCAGTTTCGTCATCGGACTTCCTTGTGTGTGTGATTCAACAAGCTTTATTGGCATAAGGAAGTGTCCCATGCATGAGAAATGATTCCCATAGGGACCACTAAGCAGGAAAGTTAGCATGTCTGCATAAAGTTCGTGCAGTGTGGGCTCATACATATAATATAATAGTAAAAGTGAATGGTAAAAGGTGATTCTTTATATTATACAGTAAGAGAACAAGCTGGATTGACTAAAAACTAAATACATAAAAAAGGGAGGTAAAAACATAATGGATACTAAAATGCACATAAAAGAAAAGTAAAACTATACTAAAAATGCATATTAATTCATAAAGTGGCATAATTCAAAATCTTTGTTTAATCCATACGGTATCATAGTATTAAAATTAAAAATAAATTTCATTTCTTCCTTCCCTATCTTCCTAATATAGTCTCCTCCTCTCCAATCTTTTGATACTTGCTTAATTGCACTAAAAAACATTCCTTCAGGGTTTTTTTGGTGTGTAATTCTGAAGTGATTGGAGACACTGTGTGACTCCACTCCATTTTTAATGTTTCTTGTGTGTTCCGCCACTCTAGTGTTAAGGCTTCGAATTGTGCGACCTATGTAAAGGAGGTTGCAGGGACATTTTAGAACGTAAATCACTCCCTTGGAGTGGCAGGTAAGGTGATCTTTTATTGTGAATTTCCTATTGATGAAGGGTTCTAGATCTGTTATATGTCTTTTTTTATTTTTAGTATTCTTGCATGCTAGACATTGTCCGCATCCATAGAATCCTTTGTCGATTGAAAAGAAATTTTTCTTTATTTTTGTTTCTCTATTGCAACTTTGTACTAGGGTATTTTTAAGATTCTTGGCTCCCCTAAAAATTTATTTTTGGTTTATCGGGCAGAATATTTTTGAGAACTGGATCATCTCGTAGGATATGCCAAATATTCTGCCCGATAAACCAAAAATAATTTTTAGGGGAGCCAAGAACCTTAAAAATACCCTAGTACAAAGTTGCAATAGAGAAACAAAAATAAAGAAAAATTTATTTTCAATCGACAAAGGATTCTATGGATGCGGACAATGTCTAGCATGCAAGAATACTAAAAATAAAAAAAGACATATAACAGATCTAGAACCCTTCATCAATAGGAAATTCACAATAAAAGATCACCTTACCTGCCACTCCAAGGGAGTGATTTACGTTCTAAAATGTCCCTGCAACCTCCTTTACATAGGTCGCACAATTCGAAGCCTTAACACTAGAGTGGCGGAACACACAAGAAACATTAAAAATGGAGTGGAGTCACACAGTGTCTCCAATCACTTCAGAATTATACACCAAAAAAACCCTGAAGGAATGTTTTTTAGTGCAATTAAGCAAGTATCAAAAGATTGGAGAGGAGGAGACTATATTAGGAAGATAGGGAAGGAGGAAATGAAATTTATTTTTAATTTTAATACTATGATACCGTATGGATTAAACAAAGATTTTGAATTATGCCATTTTATGAATTAATATGCATTTTTAGTATAGTTTTATTTTATTTTTTATGTGCATTTTAGTATCCATTATGTTTTTACCTCCCTTTTTTATGTATTTAATTTTTAGTCAATCCAGCTTGTTCACCTACTGTGCAATATAAGGAATCACCTTTTACCATTCACTTTTACTATTATATTATATGTATGAGCCCACACTGCACGAACTTTATGCAGACATGCTAACTTTCCTGCTTAGTGGTCCCTATGGGAATCATTTCTCATGCATGGGACACTTCCTTATGCCAATAAAGCTTGTTGAATCACACACACAAGGAAGTCCGATGACGAAACTGATGTTGGAACGCACGGTGCGTTCCAAAAAGACGCAAACCGGAAGTGACGAAACCCGGAAGTAAAAGACGGAACTAGTGAAACCGGCAAACGAGGCATTTAAAAGCCACTAGAACAGACGGAAAATAGAACAGCCAACTGAGGAAGCCTTATGAAAAGGCGAAACGCGTTTTGGACTATCACTTTGAACTTGGGACTATTAAGTCTACCCAGTACTACCTGGGATAAGTATTCTTTTTTACTATATATATCTTGTTTGTATAATTTTTTGGAATAAATTGTTTTTTAAAGAACCCTGACACACTGGGTAGTTATCCCTATTTTGAAACCAGTTAGAAGGGCACAAAATGAACCACTCAACATTCAACACGCTGCCAAAGAAGGGTCTGGACAACCCCCAAATGGTCCAGAGGCTTATACCACCAGAGTCATATGAGGGTATGACTCCAGGCTTGTGAGTTTGACATATCTTCCAATCTATTTTTGATATAGTGTGTTACAGACATATTGCACTATTTTCTGTTCGTATTTTATTTTCACAGAAAGCCTGCTGAAATTTAAAAGCTCCACTTGTTTTATGTATGTATAATTCTATGTTTTAAGTGGTGTAGGGGATACCACTTTACAGGTGTTTTTGAGCTAGTGCATTACATCCACTTCCACGTTGTGCATACTTTTTGTTGTAGATTATACTACTGTTTGTACAGGTAAACCAGAGATCCACTTATACTTTGTTCTGTTTGCAAGAGCTGTCCATTAGACTGCCAGATAATACGGTGTAATTCATCATCAGAGAATGAACTGGCATGGAGCATGGCAATAGTCATATGTGTTTGTCTGCTCTGCTGCGAAAAACTAATTTAGTTAGCTCTTAAAAAGATACACTCCAGACACCATAACTACTACAGCATGCTGTAGTTATTATGGTACCAGGAGTGATTTGGGAAAATGTAAATCATCAAACTGTCTGACAATTAACAACTTACCTGGGATCCACTAGCACCAGTTAACACCTCCATGATTGTTGGAAGCTCTCTGATCTTAGCTATCCCCCCGACGTTCTCAACCAATTAACTAGCCCTGCACAACAGGGATTAAATCAGGAGAACTAGTGGAAGCTCCATGGAGGAGCTTTTGGCTTTCCATGGGGGAAGTAACTGGCATCCAGTGTACCCCAGTCAAGTAGTCAAACTGTTAGCCAACAATCGGACTACTTAAATTTGGGGTGCCAGGGTACTCTACGCACTACAACCACCAGAGACTGTTGTAGTGATTGTGGTACTTGAAGTGTTTCTTTAAGAATATTTTTACACTCAGAGGTCTTGTTCTGTGAGCCATGCAGTTAAGCAGTTGATACTTTTGGACATTTAAACTTTACAACAATATTACGTATGGCTTCAGCTGTGCAGACAGTTGAAGAATTGAGTTGTTGTAAAGGTGGCAAGAAACAAACAGTAACAAACCAGAACGGCAAACAGCTTCTAAGAGTTAACAACCTCTTCTAACATGTCCACGTCCTGCAAGGCACTTTACTTACTTAAAGCAGTTTGAATATGGTTTTCTCCATTCTTCAACTCAGTCAAAAATGCATATAAAAATTTTAAACCTCTGGAGGAGAAAATAAAAGGTGTTATTTTTCTGTGCAGCAACAATTCTCAACATACAGTTGCAAGAAAAAGTATGTGAACCCTTTGGAATGATATGGATTTCTGCACAAATTGGTCATAAAATGTGATCTGATCATCATCTAAGTCACAACGATAGACAATCACAGTCTGCTTAAACTAACAACACACAAAGAATGAAATGTTGCCATGTTTTTACTGAACACACCATGTAAACATTCACAGTGCAGGTGGAAAAAGTAGTGAACCCCTAGACTAATGACATCTCCAAGAGCTAATTGGAGTGAGATGTCAGCCAACTGGAGTCCAATCAATGAGATGAGATTGTAGATGTTGGTTACAGCTGCCCTGCCCTATAAAAAACACACACCAGTTCTGGGTTTGCTTTTCACAAGAAGCATTGCCTGATGTGAATGATGCCTCGCACAAAAGAGCTCTCAGAAGACCTACGATTAAGAATTGTTGACTTGCATAAAGCTGGGAAGGGTTATAAAAGTGTATCCAAAAGCCTTGCTGTTCATCAGTCCACGGTAAGACAAATTGTCTATAAATGGAGAAAGCTCAGCACTGCTGCTACTCTCCCTAGGAGTGGCCGTCCTGTAAAGATGACTGCAAGAGCACAGTGCAGACTGCTCAATGAGGTGAAGAAGAATCCTAGAGTGTCAGCTAAAGACTTACAAAAGTCACTGGCAAATGCTAACATCCCTCTTAGCGAATCTACAATACTTAAAAAACTAAACAAGAATGGATTTCATGGGAGGATACCACAGAGGAAGCCACTGCTGTCCAAACAAAACATTGCTGCACGTTTACAGTTTGCACAAGAGCACCTGGATGTTCCACAGCAGTACTGGCAAAATATTCTGTGGACAGATGAAACTAAAGTTGAGTTGTTTGGAAGAAACACACAACACTATGTGTGGCGAAAAAAAGGCATAGCACACCAACATCAAAACCTCATCCCAACTGTGAAGTATGGTGGTGGGGGCATCATGGTTAGGGGCTGCTTTGCTGCATCAGGGCCTGGACGGATTGCTATCATCGAAGGAAAAATGAATTCCAAAGTTTATCAAGACATTTTGCAGGAGAACTTAAGGCCATCTGTCTACCAGCTGAAGCTCAACAGAAGATGGGTGTTGCAACAGGACAATGACCCAAAGCATAGAAATAAATCAACAAGAGAATGGCTTAAACAGAAGAAAATACGCCTTCTGAAGTGGCCCAGTCAGAGTCCTGACCTCAACCCGATTGAGATGCTGTGACATGACCTCAAGAAAGCGATTCACACCAGACATCCCAAGAATATTGCTGAACTGAAACAGTTCTGTAAAGAGGAATGGTCAAGAATTACTCCTGACCTTTGTGCACGTCTGATCTGCAACTACAGGAAACGTTTGGTTGAAGTTATTGCTGCCAAGGAGGTTCAACCAGTTATTAAATCCAAGGGTTCACATACTTTTTCCACCTGCACTGTGAATGTTTACATGGTGTGTTCAATAAAAACATGGCAACATTTCATTCTTTGTGTGTTATTAGTTTAAGCAGACTGTGATTGTCTATCGTTGTGACTTAGATGATGATCAGATCACATTTTATGACCAATTTGTGCAGAAATCCATATCATTCCAAAGGGTTCACATACTTTTTCTTGCAACTGTATGTGTATTTTTAAGTGTATAATCTTTATTGAAGATTTTTTCAACAGTAGAAAGTTACAGAACACTGCAAATCAGCAATACAATATGCATAGTGTACAGCTTTCTGTACAAGAAGTCTTGGATGCAGTCTCTCTGGGCCTCTGTCTAACCTTTGTCGAGAAGTTTGAGAATCAATTGTGTTCTCCTGGTACATCAACGCTTAGCCCCTCTGATATCACGGACATAACACAGACATCCCTCACCCCCCCCCCACCTTTTTATTATTAAAACAAATGTGTCCAAATTTGAATCCTGATGTCTGTGAACACTAGAGACAGCTTAAGGGAAGGGGACTATGTCACAGACCAGGCTTAGGCAAACGGCAGCCTTCGGTCCTGTAGTACAATCCCACAACATTTTGCCTGGCCTGGTATTTAAATAGTTCATCTATTCATCTCTGATGTGGTACTGGTAAAGCAAATAGTTTACAGAAGAAGCAGAATGGCTGGGTCACAAATGTGCAGATCTGTGACGTTCTAAAATGTCGCTTTGTTAAGTTTGCCCCAACCTCATCGCAAACAAAGGCCTCAATGTAATATTTTGGATACGTTTTTAAAAATGATGGCAATCTGTAGGAAAAAAAACTTTTCAAATAGTTTATCTACAGAAGTCATGAAAACCCATGGGAATTCTAGTAGATAAATGCTAAATATGTGTACAATGCATGTGTTTATGGTACAATTTATGTAAATTCCACAAACCATTCATACAGATCTGCACTATTATTATTTATTTTCTCTTTTATATGTACCATACTGCCGTGGCTTTGTTAATACTAAACTACGGGGAGTATAAGTATTTTACTAATTGTTCTCATTTTATATACACTTGGTGTGGGGCTTGTCACCTAAAAATCGCTCCACTTTTTGTTTTATTTTGCTTATTGCATTTTTGATGTGTTGAAGGGTACATATCAAAGTGTTGTAGCGACAGCAGTATACATTTTTTCAGATCTAATTAAGACACATTGCAAGACCCCTGAGCATTTAAAGAGATTTTATTTGACTATTTAGCGCTCCGATATATTTCAGAATTTTCTAGTAGATAAATTGTTTGAAACGTTTTGCTAACAGATGGAGATAATTTGAAAACTTTATCCCAAAATGTTAAATCGAGGTCTCGATATGCTCTATAAAAAAAAAAAGAAATAAAAAAATGGTATGATTCAGTTTTTGTTGCTGGCATAGCTAATGCTTTTTTCACAACTATTGCTATTCTGCTATAAAGACATGCAAATTTACATTTGACTTCCTGCAGGATGTTGACAGAGAGAAATTAATCATCTATATAAACTGGACTCTCTCTTGGTCCCATACATACACGCATGTATTTGCTGGATAGACCGAGATCAAAACCAGCTTACCGTTTAAGCCATAAGAGAGCCTCAGTTGCCGAGTTCCTAACTTGAGCCACGTTGGAATTAACTTCATGGAGAACAATCTTCTGCAAGGTTGTAAACTCGGCCTTATTAGTTATATATTTTTGATTTATTTTCTGGAAACAGAACAAAAACAGTGTCATAAAATCTGTAAATAAAAATGTTTTACTAAAAATGATATTGACGCAGACAAAGGCAGGTTTCAATGGGGCAGTGGGAAACGGCTCTCGGCTGCTCTGAATTAAATAATTAAACCCATGAAGAGGTTTTTTTATGCAATCTCAATGATTACATGTAGGCTGGGATTAAAGATTTATTAAGAGATTTACCTATCCACTTTCAAAACTCAATAAATAAATACATTCAAGTATCTTGTGCAGGAAGAATTTTAACAAACGCATTATTCACCTTTTGCTCACAGCATTGATACTGGAGCCGTTTAATATTTTAACGCAAAATATATTTTATAGCACTTGCAGTTAAATATTCTCAGATCAAGTGCATTAGAGCTTGATCCGGAATTAACAGACATTAATGTGGGATTGAACTGAAATAACCCATGCTGGAGTTAAAGGGAAATAAAGCTGCCTACATCCAAGATACGTCTGAAAATATCATTAACATACGAGCAAATGTTCCATGATTCCAGAAGACAGAATTAAAATAACTATGCTCAAGGTTATTCATTAATGTGGGAGATGTCAAGAATTTAAAAATGGCCATACTGGAGACAGAAAATTTTAAATTAATTTTGTATTTTCATTAGGTTCCACTTCAATGAATAACCCTTATTTTAAATGAGTAGAAGAAGCTATTTATTTTGCAGATTCTTTATTTCGTGCTTGATATTAACTTATACGTTTATTTGTAATAAACAGAAAAAAATATTATATTCTGATATTTTCTATAATAAATTAAAAGTTCTCTCTCGCAAATCTCACCTTAATATTTCCCACAAAGTCCATTTTAACAGGAGCAAACACAGTTGATCCAAGCTTATCTAGGGAAAAAACAAACAAACAGACTGTTAAGCTTTTGTGGCGAAAAATCAATACGTTCTCAATGCTGTGCTTTGTCAGATCTAGTTTGAAGTTAAACACAATTCAATAGCTTGCATGAGTCCTTTTCACTCAATACAATAGCAGCTATTAATCAGCCAAATACAATCACTTTTCCTCACACTATTGCTTTTTTTCTGTTTAAATTGCAATCTCTTTAAATATACACAGGAGGTGCAAAAAACAAACAAAAAAACTAATTTTAATAAAGTTAGATTTTCAGACAATTTTTGTAGTGCTGATTTAATAGTGTTGGATACGCTTTTCAAATGATATTTTTCTATTTATGAAAATATCTAAATATGTACACCATATATAAATATATACATTTTAAAAGTTTATGCAAAAATATGAAATCATTTGGAAAACTTATTCAACAATATTAAATAAAGTCCTTAAAAAATCTTATACTTTATAATGACTCATAATAAAATCAACTAAAATTCCAACATAAGCAATATGAAGAATAAAGAATGTAAATTAAATACTGTACATGTAGTAAGTATGATTTCTTAACACTCATTTCACAAGAGTATTTGTTTTTTGAACACCCAATATTAAGAAGAACAAAAAGGTATACAAGAGAATACTTTAATCCAGGCTTCCCCAAACTCCGGCCCTCCAGATGTTGCTGAACTACAACTCCCATGATTCTCAGCCTATCTATTTCATTCATAGAATCATGGGAGTTGTAGTTCAGCAACATCTGGAAGGCCGGAGTTTGAGGAAGCCTGCTTTAATCGCTTAATTTAACATATTATATTTCTTATTCCTCTGCTAGAAGAATTATACATTTGTAAAATGACGGCTAGTATTTCCATTTAAACATATCTTTCTAAAGTTGAGGGGTCCTTTTTACTTTTAGATCACTGGGCTCCTACAGTATCCTAAAATAAAGGTGACCAATGTCTAATCGAGCTGTGAGAGGGGCTCTGTTAACCCATAATTCATTCAGCAAGCTGGATGGTTTTATAGGTTTGGAGTGTAACAGATGTTATATTTGTTCCCAAACTGATAATATTTTTTGCACAGATTCCTCTTCAAAAATGCTTTTCCATCTATAAAAACCTCTTTCAATTTGTACCCACTGCTTTTATGATTTTGGTAATAATTTTCAGATAAATTGCTTCATTATAATAGCACAGTAGAAAAAAAACTAAATAGGTTATAGTTAAATCCACACAATCATTGCAGCTTATAATAATTATTATATTTATATAGCACTTTACAATGGGTGGACTAACAAACATGTAATTGTAGCCAGACAAGTTTGACGTACAGGAGTAGAGGGGTTGAGGGCCCTGCTCAATGAGCTTACATGCTAGAGGTAGTGGGGTAAAATGACACAAAAGGTAAGGGAAGTATTAGTGAAGTAGATTGGTAGAATAGTATTCAATGAAGAATGTCAGGGTTGTTTTTATTTTATTTTTTTTATGATAGTTGCAGGAGATGAATCAAATGGGAGCCATAAACAGTTTAAATGATATACTTTTGTGAAAAGGTGAGTTTTTAATGATTAAAAAAAAAAAAAAAAAAAAGTTGAGACTGGGTCAACATCTAGCGGAAAAGGGAATGGAGTTCCCCAGGAACGGTGCAGTCCTAGAGAAGTCTTGAATGTGAGCATCAGAGGTGAGAGTATGAACAGAGGATCTTCAGCAGAGTGTAGTGGCCTAGACGGGACATACTTGTGTATTAGGGGGGATAGATAGGTGGGAGTAGCATTATGTAGAGATTTGAAAGAAAGAACCAGAATTTTATATTGAGCCCTATATCTTATGGGAAGCCAATGCAGAGACTGACAGAGGGGTGAGTCGTGGGAAATGCGGGTGGACAGGAAGGTGAGCCTCGCTGCCGCGTTCATAATAGAGTGTAACGGCGCAAGTTGGGAGCACGTAAGACCACTGAGAAGCGGATTGCAGTAGTTAAGGCGAGAGAGGACAGTGGCATGGACCAGCACCTTAGCCACATTGGGCATTAAGTAGGGGCGGATGCCCGCAATGTTTTTGAGATGGAAGCAGCAGGATTTGTCGAACGACTAGACATGAGGGGTGAAGGAGAGGTTGGACAAGTTGAGCTCAAGGAAGTGGGCAGCCATCCAGTTAGAAATAGCAGAGATGCAGTCAGAAACACTGGTCAAGAGGGGAGGGGAGAGATCGGGGGAGGGCAGATAGATTTGCGTGTCATCCGCATAGAAGTGATATTGGAAGCCAAAGAAGCTGATGAGTTTACCAAAGGAGGCAGTATAGATCGAGACCAGTAGGGGACTGAACCTTGGGGGACACCAACAGAGAGGGGTTGGGGGAAGAGGCAGAGACAGAAAAAGAAACACTAAAAGAGTGGTGGGAGAGGTAGGAGGAGCACCAGGAGAGAGCAATATCTCGTAGACTGAGATTATGGGAGATGAGAAGAAGCTATTGATGATGAACAGTATCAAAAGCAGTGGAAAGGTCAAGGAGAATTAGGATAGAATAGTGACCATGAGATTTTGTAGTGAGATCGTTTGGTACTTTGGTCAGAATCAATTCCACAGAGTGCTGAGTGCCGAAACTAGACTGAAGTGGGTCGAGCAGAGAGTTGGACTCAAGGAAGTCTGTCCATCTCACATTCACAAGTCTTTCAAGTTGTATCTAATACAACTGGCAGCAATAAGTTCCCCTAGTCCCGACTGTGTAAAGAATTTCTGTAATTTACCTTTTAAACCATCACAGAGGGACTGGATAGATAAACGGTTAGGGTAATAGTATAGTGTTAGGAATACAAACATGTATTCCTAACACGATAGTGTTCTTATAATACATGTTTAAAAATAAGTATTTTTGGAGACACACACACCTCAAGCCAATTGGATTTAATCAAAGATTTATTTCAGTCATTTACTGGAATTATAGAATATCAATATCATATACTAGTAGGAATAAAAAGCTCTTAAATTAATTATTGGACACAGTTTGGAGACATGAAGCCATTTAGCTCCATGCTTTAATGCCCTTACAAGCCACAGATAAAAGCCATATGCGAGAGCTATGTAGGCATATCTGTCAATATTTGATTTGTCTTATCAAGGTTACATTCCAACGTGGCCAGGTCTGAAGATGTCACGCTGTTCATCTACTAACATTATGTGTATTTAAGCACATAAACATAAACTGGTGCCTCATTCATATAAAGTCATAAACTTTTCTCATTTTGAAGACACTCGGACAAATATGAAACCAGCACATAAGTAAAACTGAGAAGTAATGGGTCATGCTGTCAAATGATGACCATGCACCAGATCATTGCACTACAGTTATAAAACCAAGGGCTACTGATGTGTTTTGCATTTTCATAATGGATTCTGTCATATCATTCAGAAGCATATGCAGGGATTAGGTCCACCTGCGGCCTGGGACATCTGGCTGGATATGCTGGGCTGGATATGATTTATTAGGAATAAGGGCAAACATTATAAAATATTATGTATGGCCAAACTGGACCTACCCAGAACTGGGACCACTGCGTAACAAGAATCCAAGAAATCTTGCGTTGGTATGCCATCATCTTCATCCAGTATAATATCACTGAACCTTAAAAAAAAAAAAAAAAAAAGGCAAAAAGATCAGATTCCAATATAAAACAAAATTCAACCACTCCAATTACATCCTAACATACACATACAGGATTCTACTATTATTACATATTATATTCTAACATATATATGATGTAAGCCCACTGACAATACTTTAACATATAATAAAGGAATTAACCATAGATAATATCCTAATTTAACTCCACAGATAATAATCTAATATACATGAGATTTCGCAAAAATTATATTTAACAAAAAATAAATATGATATTCCAAATGATCTAAAGCAATATTTAAACACATACTGTACATTTAATTCCATTAATACTCTTCTATTGTATAATAATGCATACCATGCAAAATAAATAATTTAGTGTGCAGATTATATTAAACATTTAAGTGCTTCTAAAGCATTTAACCCAATACGTCATACAAAAATGTGGAAAAAATATATGGTCTGATGTGCTTCATGCTGGCACCAGCAATGCTAAATGCTTGATGGCATTTAAAAGTAGGATATATAACATGACAGCGCTGAATGGCAACAAATTGATAAAAAATATTGTTAAATTGTGGTTTTACTATTTTAAGTTTGAAATAAAAAATGTTTTTTACTGAAATTTGGATCTTCCTGTTTTCATCTCTTATATCGATTTCCTTGGTGGGAAAGATACAATCTAAGCTGTATAAGACGGAGTACAACTTTACTGTGCTCTCCCTTTGGAAGTATACCTCCTTTTCTATATTTTTTTTAGCAATACAGAGAGCATTATCTTCTGTTATTTTCATTTTATATGCTGGAGAACTCTTACTGCTATAAAAGGGTATACGGTACTTCCATCCACGCTGACCACCACATGCTGCTGACCGGCCTAAGGAGATCTTCCAACACAAGACTGAGACCAGGATCAGCATATGCACAGATTGTACCACCCATGCGCATATATCTGGAGCTAATTTCAAGCTCCAGAAGATTGTAGGTGCATTTCCTTTCTTATCAAAAAGATTACACCATATTCCGTTTTATTTGTCTTATTTCTCATATCTATTTGAGTTGAGGACACTTTTGAAGGCGATGCTTCCCTACATTTCCTTTCTACTGACTGCTATCAGTATACTAATATCAGGTACAGGTATACAGAGAGACACTAGATCAGTTTACAGTATGATAGGTCTCATTTTTTAAAAGCCTTCCTTGGGGATAGGAATGTCTAAATTATTCAATGTTCGTGTGAATGTTATTGTACAAGCCTGTTATTCAATGCTGTTAAGTGGAATGGTTAAACTCAACGAACATTACTGCACTCCAGCAGTCTGGTGACAGCTTAGCACTAATCTGCAGGCTATTTCAGCCAAATGATTAGTAATACCTGTGAGTCATTACACTGAAAAAAGTCTGAATTGCATCATCAGCTCCTTCTTGGTCATCACCTCCTCCTTCATCTTCCTTGTCTCCTTCTCCCTTCTCTTGCTGTACCATGTCTGTAACGGAATGTAACTCGGTCTTGGTATCGCTATCTAAATGGTTGCCAACGATGTCCTTGGAGGGTGTAGATATAAGATCTGGTGTATCTTTACTGTCTGCATGAAATAAGAATGAAAGTTTTACTTTGTAGCATTTGTTACTGAAATAAACAAAACCAACACACAAGGAAACTTCTAAAAGTGTTCTGATCAGATATTGGTGCAAAGTTCTAAAACAATGGGGCTATTACCATGGAAACCAATAGAATCAGCAGACACATTCCAATGTTTTAATAAGAACAGCTCTGGGGATTTCGCACCTCTTTTCTGTTCAAGGCAATTTTATAAATCTCCCCACAAACCTTGACTTTTATTGAACGGTTAACATTTCAGGGACTAGTTTCAGCCCAATACAAAAGTACAAAAGCCTGCACCAAACTATATTTGTCATTCAGTTGTGACAAAAAGCACAATATTTCATCTATACATTGCTAGCTTGAAATACAATTTTAACTTTAAAGGAACACTTCAAGCACCATAACCACTTACTAGAGTGGTTACGATGCTAGGAGTGCCATCTCACTGTAAGTGGTCAACCCATTTTTTAAATGGTTTGAGAACTTACCTGAGTCCTGCCAAGCACCCACCACGGATTCCTCTGCCCCCTAAAAGATCCTGCACTTATCTAAGCCGGTCGTGCAGGGAGGTGCTGATTGACGGAGAGCACTCAATTGACATTCTCGCACTCAGCTGACACTCTCAGCCAATAAGCCGGTCCTTAAACAGTTTGACTACTTACACTGGGAGGGCACCAGGGCAGCTGCTGGACACGAGCTGGCAAATAGGTTTATTTTGCTTTGTCAAATCCTGGCATATAAACATTTTTTTTTAGTCTTGTGATTGAAATTAAGCGCTTTTTTTCAAAGGCTGCACACATTTGCAATAATTGAATACAAGGTTTCCTCATAAATCTACACAAATTAATCCAGAAAACCAATTTAAAAAAAAAGGAAAAACAAAATTAAAAAAAAAAAAGTGTCAGAGAAAATCAAATATACTTGGAATAAAAAGGCTTTAAACAATAATAAATGTAATGTAGAAGAGTACAAGAACTGATATCACGCATTTCTCCAAAGATCACTTTGTGAAGAGAGGGAATGCAATGTCACAAATTAGCACGGTTGAAGTCTATGCTGCACTGTAATCGGCAAACACTTGCGACATATGATAGAAGTGTTTTACCCAGGTTACGGTGCTACACAGAGAATTTAACTTGATTGTGAATGCACTCAAGCTTTCATTCAAGAGATTACATGCCCACGTGTGAGATATACAGATCATATTGACTGCCACAATGTAGTCAATTCTTGACCAGTTTAAACTGCTTGCAAATAGACTGTTCTATTTGTTATTCTATTTTCCTCAAGTTTGTGTTATTATGCAGCCGCTATAATACATCTGCGGATTATCACTCCTATTTTTTTTATAGTTCACACATATTTTAGTAGCCTGGAGATGGTTATTTTTTTTACAGGTATCCTTCCTTGACGAATGGAAATAGATATAGAATTATCACAAATACATCTGTTGTCAAACAAGCTTACCGACAGAGGAGATGGATTCCTCATTGCACACTGTACTGACTGGGATAGATTTGGAGATATCAACACCAAACATGCGCTCGCTCTCAGTTATTGTTTGAGGTTTGTGATTTGCCTTTTCTTTTAAAGTGTCAATTTCAAGATTATTGTTTAGTTCGGACTTCCTGTGGGAGATAAAAGTATTCATCTATGAACTGCTTGTGTAAATGCACCGTGTCTATAACAAAAGTCACTTCAAAGGTTATTTTTACCATTTTCAATGTATAAGCTGTCCTCACTTACAGACCGGGTTCCGTTCTTAGGTCTCGGTCGTAAAACGAATTGGTCAGGGAGTGAGGATGCGCTAGGATGCAGGTCTATGTTCGGGGGAATTCCTCGAACATAGACCAGCTCTTAAACGTGGGGAATTCCTCGAATATATTTTTGGAGAAAATTCCCCGAATATAGATTAGCACACTAGTGCAGGGAATCTCTAAAATCTATGTTCTGGGAAAATTCCCCAAACATAGACCAGCTCTCTAACGTGGGGAATCCCTCGAATCCCTCCAAACTCTAAAGAGCTGGTCGTAAGTCTGAGCAGTCGTAAAGCAGGCATGTCACAAAGTGAGGGCTACCTGCATTACAAAATATTTATTACTTAAAAACTGAAGAAAACATTAAACAGAAACAAAAATATTCCTAGTTTCTGTAGGTGTCTCCTGCAGTAAATCCCATAGATCAAATCCTGCTACTACAACATGTCTGTCAGTTGGGCTGGTCTGCATAGGTGAGACCCGGTTAGTCAAAGCACTTCATTTCACAGATCCCTGAGAGTGATGAAACGTGTGAAAATTGCTGCTGCCGCTTTCTCTTGGCTGGACTTTTACTACGCAGAGTTATAGCGAGCCACTAAGAGATTGTCCTAATACTGTACAGCCTCTGTGGAGAGGAGTACTGACCAAAGTTCACTGGTATCCCAAATGGAGGGTAACGAGGGTCTTGATTCTAGACTTCTACACTGTGCGTAGCTCCCAGCCATTTCTATCTGGGCTCACTATAGCTCACCCAAACCTGGTCTCATCATTTTTTCCTTTATTTTATGGTGGAAGCACTGCAGATCATAGTGTGTGATTTTACAGAAGCCCTAGGCTTAAATGGAAATCCAGGGAACTTGTTATATGTAAATGGCTCCCTAGAATTACTGTAGGAAAACACTCATACAGCTGCACATTCACAGCAGACTTCAGAAAACGAAAGACTAATGAAACAAGCATCTAACAGAGAAACATACTGCTTATTGCTTACCTTTGCACAGATACTTGAGAAGATAATGTCGAGCGACGTACCTTAATAAAAAAAAATAATAATAATAAAAAAAATAAAAAAATAAAAAAATAAATAAAAATATATATATATATATATATATATATATATATATATATATTACAAAATCGTTCAGATACAGATTTGTAAAGCTCTATAATTCAATAACACAGATAACCCAATAAAGGACCCTAGACTCATTGTAAACCAGGAAGGGACACATCATATATCGTCACACTGTGTAGTGTAAAGGGTTAATCTACCACTAGTGAATGTCTTCCTGACAATCGAGGCACTTCATGTCTGTGAATCAAATGCTGCTGATAGTAACATCTGATTGTAGGAGTGCAGTGTTTCGGTGATCATGAAGGAGGAGCTGGAAGAAGCAGAAAAGAAGTCCTGGCGCTGGAAACGAAGTAAGTAATCTTTATTTAATTTAAGTTTTTAAACTAAAAGGGGGCTGGAGAACCTATGGTCCCAAAATAACGATTACTATATCCTATTCCTTGACTGGTGCCAGTGTGAAGATATAATCAATGTTATACACTTCACCTGTCAGAGGTTTTAATGTGTGGGAAAACACACTCTTCCCACAAGCTGAATACTGAGCACCCACATTACACCAGGACAAACGGAGACCCCATTCAGTGGCCTTGACACCCCTACCACTCCCTGTTTTCAATTGCCTGAGGGAGAAGAAAAGACTGCTACAGAACATGGTCACAGGGCTTGAGGACTAGCTGTTCACCCAGTAGAAGGACAGAATATTTCATTTAACTTGTGTGTGTGAAGCTTCTCTTGTCGATGTACCTAGGATATGAAACGGCAAGAGTCAAATGCCAAAAGTCAGGAGGAATTTTTTTTTTTTGTGACAGGCTTATCCACAAAAAGGGTGTGTGTGTGTGTGTTTGTGCGTAAAAGGTTATCAGTATTTGAGTGCATTCATGTGAACGTCAGTTTCTCAATGTGCAACAGTTATTGTCACCAGCTACCCAAATACAAATAGTAGGTGAGAGGAAACAGTTTAATAAAGTAAATTACTACCCCTCCCCAATAAATAAATAAAACAATAAAATTGGCTTTATAAAAATTGTTAAGCTACAAACAGATTTTGAAAACGTATTGATGCACTCTTTATCCAGACACAATTGCACAGAAGGAACATAATTCGTACCTTGCTGGGTTTCAGGACAGAAAGGTGCGGTGACCCCGGAGGTGTGGCATGAATGAGGTGAGATGATAACGTAGTATTTGCAATCTGCATACACTCCTCCAGAGTTTTCAGGAATGTATTACATGTAGATTTCAAAAGTGCTCCCATATCAATGTTTTCCTGCAATATAAATACATGACATTGAAAAACATCTAGCAACATAACGATGCCACTGTGACATTAAAGGCATTGCTTAAATACAAAAATATATATAAATTTATATAAAAATAGTCCCCCTCCCCTCTCTCCCAATGAAAACATACATGCATTTAATAATACTTTTTTTTTTTTTTCAGGTTTAGGTGAGGTAAAGGGTACAGAATAAAGATAGGGGTAGGGTAGCAGTGATATCCAATACTTTGCAGTTTCGTTTCATTTCATTGGTATCAGTACGGTTTATTGCGAAACCTCCCGTCAGTCTTCTAGGTTGAGTAGTTCAGTTTTTGTATGTCTCAGGTAAAGGTTGTTACTTGGTCATGGGTCTTGTCGTCTTCGCCTCTGGGGGCGTGTTTGACTCTTCCTGTGTTGTGTCTGTCAGGTTTGTCTCTCTTTCGGTTGTATATGGGTCTGGGGTTTGGTCTGCTGTGTTTGTTTTTGCGTGCAGGTGTGATCAGTGTGAGAGTTAGGTGGTCTCGACCCATGGGTGGTCGTCTCGTTTAAGCTGTAGATGTGGAGGCTTTCCAGTGTGGTGAAATTCGGGTCTACGCCTAGTGCCTGAGGTTGTTCTGTTATATTTATTTCTGCTACTCGTGTTCGTGGTGTACGAGGTGTGGTATTTTGTTTTTGTGATGGGTGGGTTCCCTAGTCTTATGATCATGCTTTTATTTGTGTGGTGTGTGTGTGTGGGGGGTATGTGTAGGGTTCAGGTGGTTGGGGGGAAATATGTGGGGTCCTAGTTTGCTATCAGTAGGGGGGTTAATGATACTTTTTAAATTTGGGGTATATCTAAAAAGAGCGTGCAAAAGCTACAGATCTCTTGTCTCTAGAATTTGCAATCACAAACTCCCCAATGCAGTTCAATAAGAAGTCTTTGCAAGGTAGGTGCTCCGAGCAATTGCTGCCTCTGTAGTTTAGCTCCACTGAGCTAAACAACCAGGAAGTAACAGACAGGACAGGTTATGTGATTGGAAGCTCTGGGACATGCAACAAGGTTAAGTTAGAAGTTCTAATGAAATCTGTACTTTTTGGGAAATAAAAAAAAAAAATACACTTTACACATAAAGCACTTTAGCAAGCTAAAGTGCTTTTAGGAATCTGGAGTAGCCCTTTAAGGAATGGAAATATTCTTCAGGGTCACATATATCCTGACAAGAAAGTTTAGTTTTTTCCCCCCACCTTCCTGTGTACTAGAGTCTGACACAATGAATTTCATATCGTTTAGTAAATATACAGAGTAAAATAATACATAACGAAAAGTCTACTTTTTCCATCTCTCTCCACAGTTCTCAAATATGGTTTAATTCCTTGAGTATAGGTGTACTTTGTTGAGGCCTGCAGATATCCAGGCATTGTTAATGTTAATGACACAGTTTATCAAATGATGACGAAGAGGACAGTTTATGGAAGAGTATGCATTCACTACATGGAGTCATTCTGCAAATGTCTGTATTCCCATGCGGTTTCATTAAAAGGACACTATAGGAACACAGAACACTTCAGCTCATTGAAGTTGTCGGGTGCAGTGCCCCTGTCCCACTTAGACCTTTTTGAGAAACTGCAACGAGTACTTTGCAGCAGTAAGACTGCCTCCAGTTTGTCTATCAGACAGCCACTAGAAGTGCTTCAGGGATTCGAAAAGACTCTGCTTTCCTACAGTGAGGACCTAATGTACTTGCCGCTCATACGCATTAGGTCACCTCTGTTGGATGATGCTGGAGCATAAAGTTGTTGTTTTTTTAACCCTTTAGCGGCAGGGCAGGGGAGGAAGAGGGTGTATTCCTAACACTATAAATCTATCCCTTTAAAGTTACCAGGTTTTATGAATCGTGAGACTCAGATTTATGATCTAAGAGTCGGAGCAGAAGTTTACTCAATAACAGAGCAGGACAACTTAAAGGGACACAATAGGCATCCAAACCACTTCAGCTCATTGACGTTGTCTGGGTGCAGTGTACCTGCACCCTTAACCCTGAGCAGGTAATTATTGCAGTTTTTAACAAATTTCAATAGTTATCTGCTAGGGTTAACTCTTACTCTAGTGGCCATCTGTCAGACAACCACTAGAGGGACTTCCGGGTGCCCAGGCAACTTTTGGTTGCCTAAATGACGCTATGCATGAGGACTTCCAGCGTCATCAGAATCCCCATAGGAAAGCATTGAATAATGCTTACTTATGGAGAATACCTAATGTAGCCATTGCCGCGCATGCGCATTAGATCTCCCCCGCCGGCTGACGTTGGCAAGAAAGAAGTGAAGGCGGACATGAGCCAGCGCCGAGGGACATCGGTGCTGGATCCAGGTAAATGACAGAAGGAGGGGGGGCATTGATGGAGGGGGAAGCTATAGAACCAGGAAAACAAGTTTGTTTTTCTGGCACAATAGTTTCCCTTTAATAACTTTTTGAACAGTGGAAGCTGGAGGTAACAAAACAGTACACAAAAAAAAAAAAAATACAAAAAAAAAAATGCATATGCCAAACACCAACTACAGCAAGCCAACTCATGGAAAAGTTTCTGGAACAATGACTCCTGCTAAGTAGGCATCTCAGGTAAATAGGAATAAAAACATAGCTTTTATCAAGTTAATTGAGAAAAGAAAAGTAAAACAAGGATTAGTTAGATTAAAAACAAAAGAAGGAAGGTATGTAGAAGAGGATAAAGGTCAGGCTGACTGCCTCAATGAATATTTTTGTTCTGTATTTACAGAAGAAAATGAAGGAAAGGGACCTCAGTTGAGAAAAAGGATAAATGAGTCATTTATTACATGTGAGTTTACAGAGGAAGAGGTTCTATTTCAACTGTCAAAAGTAAAGACAAATAAGTCAATGGGACCTGATGGAATACACCCAAAGCTATTAAAAGAGCTTAGTGGTGTACTAGCAAAACCATTAACAGATTTATTTAACCAATCATTGTTAACAGGAGTAGTCCCAGAAGATTGGAAGTTAGCGAATGTTGTGCCCATTTACAAGAAAGGTAATAGGGAGGAGTCGGGCAACTATAGGCCAGTAAGCCTTACTTCAGTAGTGGGGAAAGTGATGGAAACCATGTTAAAGGATAGGATTGATGAACATCTAAAAACACATGGATTTCAAGATCAGAGACAACATGGGTTTACTTCAGGGAGATCATGCCAAACAAATCTTATTGATTTTTTTGATTGGGTAACTAAAATTATAGATCAGGGTGGTGCAGTAGACATTGCTTACCTAGATTTCAGTAAGGCTTTTGACACTGTTGCACATAGAAGGCTTATCAATAAACTGCAATCTTTAAGTTTGGATTCCAATATTGTTGAATGGGTAAGGCAGTGGCTGAGTGACAGGCAACAGAGGGTTGTAGTTAATGGAATATATTCGAAGCTTGGACTTGTCACCAGTGGGGTACCTCAGGGATCTGTACTTGGACCCATTCTCTTTAATATTTTTATTAGTGATATTGCAGAAGGTCTTGATGGTAAGGTATGTCTTTTTGCTGATGATACTAAGATATGTAACAGGGTTGATGTTCCAGGAGGGATAAGCCAAATGACAAATGATTTAGGTAAACTAGAAAAATGGTCAGAATTGTGGCAACTGACATTTAATGTGGATAAGTGCAAGATAATGCATCTTGGACGTAAAAACCCAAGGGCAGAGTACAGAATATTTGATAGAGTCCTAACCTCAACATATGAGGAAAGGGATTTAGGGGTGATTATTTCTGATGACTTTAAGGTAGGCAGACAATGTAATAGAGCAGCAGGAAATACTAGCAGAATGCTTGGTTGTATAGGGAGAGGTATTAGCAGTAGAAAGAGGGAAGTGCTCATGCCATTGTACAGAACACTGGTGAGACCTCACTTGGAGTATTGTACACAGTACTGGAGACCGTATCTTCAGAAGGATATTGATACCTTAGAGAGGGTTCAGAGAAGGGCTACTAAACTGGTTCATGGATTGCGGGATAAAACTTACCAGGAAAGGTTAAAGGATCTTAACATGTATAGCTTGGAGGAAAGACGAGACAGGGGGGATATGATAGAAACATTTAAATATATAAAGGGAATCAACACAGTAAAGGAGGAGACTATATTTAAAAGAAGAAAAACTACCACAACAAGAGGACATAGTCTTAAATTAGAGGGACAAAGGTTTAAAAATAATATCAGGAAGTATTACTTTACTGAGAGGGTAGTGGATGCATGGAATAGCCTTCCAGCTGAAGTGGTAGAGGTTAACACAGTAAAGGAGTTTAAGCATGCGTGGGATAGGCATAAGGCTATCCTAAGTATAAGATAAGACTAGGGACTAATGAAAGTATTTAGAAAATTGGGCAGACTAGATGGGCCGAATGGTTCTTATCTGCCGTCACATTCTATGTTTCTATGTTTCTATGTTTCTAATTAAAAACATCATGTTAAAAAATATAAATCTTTGGGGGGATACGGGGTGACATGGCTTGACCGGTAAGCAAGCTGGACGTGCTTGTCTACAGCTCCGCACCGGCCTCCTAACAAGCAGCTAATTTAAGCATTCTAATAGCTACCTCACACTGAGTTTTCTTGCCCTGAGGAAACATGGATAAACGTAACCCTTGCAAACCATCCACAAAAAACCTCTGGTACGAGTATAATGGTCCTGTACTGGTTTGCGGCCTGCCGAGCCTCGCGCCCTGAGCTACAAGATGATCTTAAGAACAACCTGCACACGCCTGCCTCTCCAGCGTGCTCTGAGGCCTCCCAGACTCCAGGCAGCCTCACAGAGGACACGCCTCAGATCCTGGTGAAACTGGCCCGAGAGATAGAGTGGAACTTTAAAGGCAGTTATGGCAGAGATCCACTCCCTGGGCTCAAGGACGGCGGCTCTGGAACAACGTATCCTACCTTCTTCCAAAATCTCGCCCCTACCACTCTCCAGAAGAGAAGTGAATGGAAGCTGATCACAGACCTTCTGCATACCAATGCCTCCCTAATCCACTCTGTAATCCCCTGCTGATTTCATGTGGTACAGAGGGACCTTGCAGGTCTTACCCCTCTCTACCCTGCAGCGTACCAACACCAGGTCCAACCCAACATGCTATCCAGAAAGATCTATGACCCAAGATGAGCCGTGAGCTGCATATATCCTTTTCTCTCATCCATGACACCTGATGGACAAGGTCTTTCTATCTACCTGTTGCATGTTAACCTGTTTATTTTTTATATGTTCGAATTGTGGAATTTTCGGGAACCCCCAGGGTAAACACCTCCCTCACTCTGCCTTAGGCTCTGAGCCACCAGTTCCCTTCCCATACACATACTAGGTGGATACCCTCCTTCTGTTATACCCTTGACCTCACGACACCTCAGTTAGACACCTCAGTTAGACTCTAAGGCATAAGTTAACTATGTACTGGGGGAACCACTACTACACCATAGGCATAACAAATTAAAAAAAAAAAACCCAAGTGTCTTTTTTTTATTTGTTAAACTAAATTAGAATATTGATAACAATACAAAACAGTTGAAAACCCCACGAACAGATACATACAAAATCTATAAAGGGAACATCATGAAACTCACGAACAAACAATAACTACAAAGACAGACACACTACTACCTACTATTACGAAAGGGACAATTAGGCCCACTAGCCCGGCACATTTTAGTTGATTTTTTTTTTATTTATATGCAAATAATGTCCTACTTTACGTTGCCCAAATAAGCTCCGAGCTGTACAACTGCACCTGTACCAAATGCTAAAAAAGTGACGATAATAGAAGCCCCCCCACCTTATTCTGCTCAAGACAAAGGCCCCCCACAAACCACCCCCTCTCCCCCCATCTCCCATCCTTCTTCCTTATTCCCTGCCCAATAAACCAGGGTCTAAGGTGACATATATGATCTCAGCCTACAACAAAGTTGAGTCTTACATGGTTCTACAGTTAGGCCCGTTACAGGGAAATGTATCAAACGGTTATACTTTCTGCATATTTTTAGTATTTCCCTCCTCAATGACTTAGGAGGACTCTCCCAGTGTAATGGTCAATGACGCCTTTTCCTTCTGGATATGTCTCCGGCGGAAACCGAGGCTCATGCACACCCCCACAGTCTGGCGACGTATAAGACCAGACTCACTTTGCAATGTTTTACATTGTTTGCTCTCTTCTTCCTTGATTCCCCACTCTATACTCTTCTTATACCTTCCTTCCCTCTGGTCGGACAAATGCAATCAACTTCCTCCTTATCCTCTGCTTGACTCAAAGGGTTCCAAAGTATTGGAGCGGTGGTGGAGAGTGGCTGCTGACTTGTGGATGCATGCCTCAACTTGTGTTCACCCCTTCAATCTCATAACAATACTCCACATAATACTCTGTAGTCCCCAAACATGGCTCTGAAGATCTCATCTCTTAATACCAAAGGCCTGAATGCCCCACGTAAATGACGCACCCCAATGAGGGAAATCAAACGACTGAACCCAGACATTGCTTTCATACAGGAGACCTACCAAAATCTTCCCAGGTCTCCATCAGAGATCATACCTATACCGTCGCCATAGAAGTCAGGGCCTGCTGCAACATAGCAGAGTAGCTATTCTGATCCACAAAAGATGCCCACTCCTGATCTTCCACATGGTCTCTGATCCTGAGGGCAGGTACATCCAGGCTACGGGCTGGAAACATTCACACACTATACACATTATCAATATATATGCATCCAACAACCCTTCACCAGCTTTCTGGGACCGGATCTCCAATATTGATGGGGGTCATCATACTAGGTGGTGACTTCTATCGGCAGCCGAAATTGGTGCCACGTTGAAGCATACGCCCAGGGATCACACGGCATGGGCGAACAGGAAAAACTACTGCACCGCTTTATTAAAAAAAAAAAAAACAGGGCTCATAGATGCATGGAGGGCACAACACCCAGACTGCCGAGATTTCACGTTTTACTCTTCTCCCCATGACACCTATTCACGCATTGATCTCTTTCTCACTAACCACGAGGGATTCTCGAAGGTCACAAATATTGATATAGGATCTATAGCATGGTTCGATCATGCGGACACTACCATATACCTTAGCAGATTACATACATCCTTCCCGTGGATCTGGAAACTAAACACTTCACTACTGAAAGACCCGACTGTAGTAGATACCATTCGCCAACAAATCTCCATGTACTTTCTTTAAAATCTAACTCCTGTGATCCCCATGGGCACTGTCTGGGCCGCACATAAAGCGGTGAGAAGAGGTACCCTCATTAAAATAGCAACCCACAAAAAGAAGCAAAAAACCCTAAAGTTCACTAATCCTCTAGACATTACGTAAAACAGAACAAAGAGACAAAACCACTCCAACCCACTAAACCCTACAGCTCCAGGCCTTGCGACATTCCATACGGGAACTTCTGATTGAAGATACGGCATGTTCCCTACTGTGGTCCAAAAGAACCTACTACGAGAAATCCACCAAAATGAATAAACAAAACTGGCACACACCCTGAGGCAGAGCATGAGATCAATATGGCTATCTCAGCACTGAAGGGGGGTAAAGCCCTGGGTCCAGATGGATTCTAGGGAGGCTACTACAAAATATTCCGTGATGAACTAACCCCGCACCTAGAATCCCTCTTCTAGGACATAATGGCTGAAATCCTTACTCATAAGGAACCAATTTATAGTTATCACTCCATAGATATTCCAGCTATGTTCCTCTAACCAGGGCTCCCTCTCTGGTGTCCCAGTATTTATTTATTTTTTGTTTTCTTTATTTACCTATGATCCCTATCTACCTACAAATAGGGCATCCTTATTGCTTTGCCAATCCACCTTAGATGGATCCAAGGAATCATATTTGAACTTATTATCCCCCTGTTGATTATCCTCTAAGGGCTTTCATTGCATTTCCCAGGTATTCATATTGCTATGAATTGCCATTTAGCTGCACTGATGCAGCGTTACAGGGGAATATAGTATCTAGGAGCACCATCATTTGGGTATACTGACACTATTGTATCCTTCTTGTAATAGAAGTAAAATAAAGTTTCAGTGTATCATTGTTGTTGAAAGGACAACCAAAGTTGTACAGTACCAAAGAAGCTAGTGTGCCTCTTCCTTGTATTTTTTACCTTTTTCTCCAAATAAGCTCACAGGTATTTTTTGTAAGAACGGCGTATTTTGTTATACCTATACCAGCTATTGGGAGCGCCCCCTAGAGGGTAGTTTTCCCATTATAGTTTTTCTTTTGTGTTTTTCATATCCTCAGATATGTCTCCCGTTTTTCTGAGACAAAATAAAAAATTAAAATAAAAAAATAAAAAAAATGTTTAAATTTAAAAATATCCCTGACTGTAGAGATATGTATCCTTTTGTAGATATATTGAGTGAACACCTACATTGAAAGACTAAACCTGAGCCATTTTTCATCCAGCACCTTACTAATCAATTAGAAAAATTAATGTAACTCCACACACCTGAGACTCAGAAAAGTTGATGGCAGAGGTTTCTTTTGTTTTCGTGACTTGTTCGACCAGGATATCGCAATATAGTCTTAGTTCTGACATCTTCTTTTTCAAAACATCTGTATTGTCACTGAACTCTAAACAGGACGAGTAAAACATCAAATTATACATGTGTTTTAACAGACGCTGAATGAGGATTAACCTTGTAAGTACAAGAGGGTTATAAACTACAGAAAGGGGATGGAAAACATGAAATCTTCAGAACAGATGCCCTTCAAAATGCATTATCTATTAATGTCACAAATATTGGAAACAACAAAGGGAGCATGGGGGAGGGAGGTGGAGTACACCTGTCTTCTGAATCCATAGAGCATTTGTTCTATTCTGCCTTGATAATAGGTCATTTACACTTCCACGTAACCAATATCAAGTCTGTTAACCCATTGGTCAAACCAGCTCCATATCTATCAGCCAATCACTACCAATCAGAGTAACGTGTAAATACCAGTTTGACAACAAAAACATTAAAAAATAAAAAACAAAAATAAAAATTCAGCAGTCAGATTCTTTGCACTGAACTGCAGTGGTTATGGTGCAAATACATATTAGCTAGGTACAAAAAAGATTGTGGGAAGGCCAAACATGACACACCACCTCACAGTGCAAATTAAAAATTACTGTTATGCATCACCTGCAAATCTCAAATTGGTCTCAAGTTGGAAGGGATCTTTTTTCGGCACAGGAGATTATATATATCATATACAAAAAAAATTTTATAAAAAAAAAAAGGAAAAACACACTGCCCAAAATAAAACACCCATTTCCAGTTTTAATCAGAGGAGGAAGTGGAAGATCAGCACAGGATGATTTAATTCATAATCTGCGTTTAAACAGATGTCATGTTAGTAAAGCATTGCTTGAAAAACACGTCATGCTGCTCGCTACCATCTAGGCTAGTAGAGGTTCACTTTAACCATATTGAGGAATTAACCAATTCCTGATAAATATCAATGTAAGTACTTTGTGAAGCAGAGAGATCAGTGTAACAGTGACCCAGTGCTCCTGTTACTTTTGGGTTAATTTAATTTTGGTTGGGGTAATGGCTATGGGTGGAAATGAGAACAGCACTCTACTGCAGTGGAATTAACCTTTGAGGATGAAAAAGTGCTTGTGAGTTGTGTTTTTTTTATATACATTTTTTATTTACACCAAATTTAATAACAGGGTCTGTATTTATGGGTCACATATTTATATCCGAGTGTTCTTGTAATCTGTTATTAATGTTTTTTTAAACGGTGCCTATAATTCCAATCCAATTACCACAATAAGGGCGTGTGGCCGTTGCTAATAAAAGGCAATCAAGTCTTCCAGGTTCTGCAGCCTTTCTAATTTCACATCAAAGACCTGTACCACACCTCTATATCATTTGGAACCTTAATTCAAACACTCCACATGGCGATTGCCAAGGTGATCATGCAAGTATACACAAAGTAACAGTTGAAGCTGAAAGCTCCTGATGTTTTACACCCTGTATTTATGAAGTGTGCCAAGCTTCGTATTTGTACATTGGTTTCAAACGTTAAACACATGCCTTTTTCCTTCTTTGTTCGAAAGTCTGTTATGCAGGCCTTTGCAGATCCCAGTGCAACAAGCCATTGCTGTCTCTCTGCTGCCGTCCTGGCTTTTAGGTAGAAGTACTGCTCCCCTGGAATAGCCAGGTCCATCCGAGTGTTGTCTGAAGGATGAACTGTAAAAGCACAATGACAAGAAAACAATACTCAATGTATAATTCAGTTATGACAATAGACGTCAAGTATTTTTAAAAAAAAGATCAATTGCTAATAGGGACATTGTAGTCCATATAATAATTTCATCTCTTTGAATTAGTTATAGTGCATGTAGTTCCCTGGTACTGTCCCTCCATTTAGTGCTAATCCACTTTAGAGCAGTTTAATACTAAATAAGGATACTGGATGCATGGCTAAGACAGAGATTGCACACGTCCTTGTTGTCATACCCATTCATACCGTCAGTTGGAGCTCTGATAGGCTAAAAGCAGTCAGCTGACTCTCTTTGCCAATCACAGCTGCCCAATGCTGCTCAGGCTAATACTTCCCTATTAGCCAAAGCTGCACAGAGGAGATGGACTGCTGGGGACTGTTATTTAGCATTACAACATAAAACATTAAAAATGGTTTAACGCTGAATGAAATGACGGTACCAGGGGACTCCAGACACTAAAATCAGTTTAATGAGATGAAGTGGATACAGTGCCTACAGAATCCCTTTAATATTTAACCGCTTCTCTGCAAGAGACAACCCTGTTTCAACACTCAAAAAGCTTCTGTAATGTAAAAGGACAGGACTAACACCATCTGCATATATAACAAATTCAATTAAAGAACAGCTACCTATTGACCACCAAAATGCATAGGAGAACATGAGACCACATACTGAAAATAAATTCTCCGCTCTTAAATAAGTGGTCTTGAGTCTGCGTAAAAAGATTTTTGGTTTATGTTTTATTAATATTTTGCTACAATGAGCGAGGTGTACAGGGGTATGATCATGAATAATGTATTATAATGAGTTATGTCACCCGACATAAAAAATATTGTATTTTGTATTCTCTTCTACAAGTGCCTAAATGAATTCCTTGTATATCAGCTGCAGAAAGAAAAGACCAGCCCAGTTTCCAGTTGAACGCCAACTATTCACCTTCAGGTAGGAATACATTTGATGACAAGACATACATAACTGAAGCTCTCTTACAAGATGACAATCACAATGTAATAGACAGTTGGGCATGCAGTCACTCTACCAAGTCATCATTCCAAACTAGATGGAATTTTATTCCTAATCTAGGTAATGTCATATCATTTTTGACAGGTATAATATAGGGAGCTAAGCCATGGTCCACTGTCACCTACAAACATGAATTGATGGTATGCATATTACATAACGCATGGGTTGTTGTTGATTATGTTTGTTCAAGTTTTAATGTTTGTCTGCTAAAGCTTTAATCATTTATTTTTTTGCTGTGCTTGTGTCCTATTTTTTATTTTTAATTCTTTATTTTTTCGTACAGTAGGGTTAACAAACACGCCTGTGGTGCCATGATAGCATCATTAGGCTTTTCAAAGCTCACATTATCATGACAGGAGTACGTGGCACATTTTCTTTTTTTTAAACAGGTTATATACGTTTGATCAGCAAGAAAAGATTGTGCCTAGTAATAAGAAAAAACATACGAATGTAAACTGTGCCAATCTAGTAACAGATTGGGTTAGCATGAAACTTAGACTATGAATGTGACTGTTCTGCAGGTACATGGTTATAAATGAACGATGGGATCCAGTAGTGAGGTGTTGGCTAACCTCCTTATTGCTTGTGCTGGGTGCGCTGGTTAGCTGAATATGCAGTGTGTGTGCCTATTAGGTTGGCGTTGAGAGCTTGTGTGAGTGTCGTCGTGGTGGTCTAGCGGAGGAAGATAACTACCTGTTCGGATTTTAGTCTTAGGTAAGCTGTGATCCTATGTGTGATCTCTAGACTGCATTACTTTGTGCCTCGTCGTGTGGTGCCGTTAGATTGCCCTGCAGTCGTGTTTTGGTGTTGCCTCAGCGTGTCTGTTGGTGTTGTTGCCTAAGTGGTCTTGAATGAGGCGGGGGGAATAGGAGGTGTGTGTGTTGCGAAGCTAACCGGTCTTTAGGTAACTAACTTTCAACGTTTAACAATGAAGGTGGGGGTAATAGGAGCTACAAGGGGGTCAAGTGCCAAGCTTAAAAAAGCAGAGGTGCCATCAAGTTCATGGGGTTCCCCATGAGCGCAGGGTTGGGGACTTCGGTCTGGATTCAGGTTGTCACTGCTGCGTAATGTGCTGGTGTGGGGTTCTGCAGGACGAAGGGGGTGATCCGAGCTGGGTCCCAGTTATGGGTGCGCTGTATGTCCTGCTTGTTTTGGTCGAGGGAGTCTATAGGAAGTCCCAGGGTGCGCAGCAAAGCCGTGGCCTCTTGGGGCTCTTGTATGTGGTGTGTGGCGTCCCCATGGTAGACCTGTAGCGTGTGGGATGGGTGCCAGCGGTACTGCATTTTGTGCTGTTGAAGGAGCGTGATAAGCGGTCTAAGGGATCTACGCCAATCTAGAGTGCTCCCCGAGAGGTCGGCATAGAAGGGGAGTGTCATTGCTTCAAATTGGTACAGGGCTTTCCCTTTCAGGGCGTTAAGCACTGCCGCCTTATCTGCTCCGTTTCTGAATCGGACCACCAGGTCCCTTGACGCTGTGGTTGGGGACCTGTTGGGTCTAGGGATGGGGAAGAGACCCTTCAATTGCAGCGATCTAGCTTGTTTTGGGGGTAGCAGGGTCCCCCACAGACGCCTCATGAAGTGTGGTAGTTCGGCATCTTGGACATTTCAGCCACCCCACGCACCTTTAGATTGTTACGACACCTGTTATCCTCCAGTGCCGCAAATCAGTGCTCAAGTGTTCGGTTTTGCGCCCATAGGCCTCCAATCTCTTGTTGGAGTTGTGATCTGTTGGGTGTTCTTGGCTGCTGCACCCTCCATGCAGCCTTTTATGTCGCTGAGGACTGCCGCCACATCAACAGATATGTTTCTCTGGAGATCTGCCAGGAGCTCCTGTAGTACTGCTCTGGTTACTGGGGCAGCGTCTGGCTTGGCTGGGCTGCGGTCGTGGTGCCGTTTGCGGGGTCTGGTCTACCATTCCGCCAGAAAAGTTATCTGAGAAGTTTGATCCCTGCACCTGGCGCCATAGATCGCCGATTGTCAACCCCAGGGTCGGCTTGCCGGAGCTCCCAAGTCTTGCGACCGCTGCTTGTGTCCTATTTTAATTGAAGTGTTTATATAGGTTTGTCATACTACATCATGATAATGCTAAATCTTGCATGGATGGTAAGCTCTTTGATACAGATTAGAACCAACTCCTTAATTTTACAATTTGCATTTACAGATGACAACACGATGACACATTTTCCATTATACGAACTCCCCAAACAAACAAGATTGTCCAGAAACGTTTAGTCATTTTCTATTTATAACGTCCCTGGCTCGTAGCCTAACTCAGCTAAAACAGGTTTTTCCCAAGTCTAGCAGAAATCCAGGTCAGTTTTGTGATAGTATTAACTGGAGTTGACTTTGGCACCAATGGTCTAATTGTATTTTGATTGGAGGCCTACGTGTAAGTTCTTGTCTACATGGTGACATTTATTAAGTTTTATGAGTTTGTATCCTCTGTTATTATTGTACTGGATCTCAATAAAAATGCCATCCTAACGTGTGCTGAAAGGGAAGGACTAAAGATAGGGTGTCAATGATGCATTGGGAACCCCTACTGATGCACATTAGAGAGATGCATCAGAAAGAAGCACGTAATACCTGCACCAAAAATGGCTTGGGGGCCTGAAAGGCTTTAGACTAGAGGAGCGTATGCTTCCCTTGTACCCCACAACTAGTTTTTAAGCAGTTTTTGAAAGCTATCTTTTAAACTCCTGTGGAATGATGTCATACTTTTCAGAGTTCTGCAATCTTCCAGCAATACCTGAATGCTACGCAAGAACTCTTGCATGTCCACAAATAGTATCTTTCAATAGCAAGCATATTTTATACATTTGCGCTTCAACTTTTGAGGACTTGTTCTGGTATACTCATAAATGAGACACTTGGAGAAAAACTCTGGTGGGCACGACAGGAAATTAAAATTGGTACTGTACTGGGGATACGGGATACTGAAGATACAGTATGTGATGTAATGTTAATTTGGATATATTGTTCCAAGCAAATTATTTCTTTACCTACCCCTCTGCATTGTATATCAATACTTCTCACTGTTTTAAGTCGAAACTACAAAGACATTTGGCTGCCATTTTACCAAAGGAAGACATGCAGGGTATAACAATTAGGATTACCTCCAAGGTTTGTTTATTTTTTCTTTTACACTCTTGTAGGGTGATTGGAAAGAGAATGACTGTCAACCTTTATTTTTTGTGCAATTTGGAATGGTTGAACTTGATAGACTTTTTTTTTTTTTAAACCCAGGTATGAACACAAAGAGCAGTTTTGGTGAAAACGGTACCTTGAATTTCACAGACAGCCATTTGGATACTTCCTTTGCAACCTTTCCAAGCGTCTTCTTTGGAGTCATAGTAGGACAATATTCCACCATACAAAAGAAACCACCGAGGCTGCCAACCTAAAAAATACCATTTCATATACATGAAATACATGAATTTTCAATTACCAACACAGCAAACAAAAGAAATCCAGAATAGTCTAATAATGTTACGATATACTGGCCATGTTACTTTTTCTGTAGAACATGTCTAAAGAATTCAGAAGTATGCAGTCCTAAAGAAAGTCAAAATCAATTTGAATCAACTAAGATTCATAAACCATCAGCTTTAAGTACAAAGCATGTTAGAGCATCAATCACACAATATTGAGAGAAGTAATTTAATGTTAAGGCCTTTTCTTTTTCATTATTCTATATTTATGGATATTTTATCATTCCATATCATCAGACATAGATTCAAGTTCAAGTACAATCATGTATGCAATGAAAGGAAAACAAAAATAAAAGGAATAAACAACAATACCACAAATACTTTTGTTAAAAGTATTTCTAATATAACTGAGATTGGTACTCAGGCCATGATCATTAGGGCAAGTTACCGTGTGATAATATCTGGTCCCAAAGTACAAATTTAGGAGTCATATATACACAAAAAGTATTGGGACACAGGGCTGGGCCTGAGCTTCAGGGCGGCTGGTTCTACTATGGGAAACTCCTAACAAAGCTCTTACATTACACGATTTTTCGGCCATTTAGAACTCTCATTTGTCACAAATAGACAACTCACAACCCAATAAGATTTCCAGCCCTTGATTCTAGTCTTGGGTTAGACAAGGCCTAATGCAGGTACTGGGTGGGAGAAGCAGCCAGTCTTCTGTCCTGCAGATCACTACCTTCTCACCGAGACCTTGCAGTGTCTCTGGGTCGGTGGGGGTCATCCTGGCCCTCACTGTCCTGATCTACTACTTAAGTTGGCTCTCATGGTCGCCCTTACCTTACATTGACACACTCCTCAACACACCAAATGGCAGAGGTACTCCTTCACAAAAGACACACTGACACCAATTATACAGGACTGAGGCAGCCCTGTTGAGAGATGTCTGCAGAGATTGGATACTCTCTTTTAAAGCTTCTAGGCTAAACTGTTACATTTATGTTGTGTCAAATAAGGGGTTGTGATAGCGACTTAGACACAGTGGATTTTTCTTGAACAATAATTTTGCCTGTACTATAACAGAACTATCTTAATCACTTGCATTCAGAAGCCTACTATAACAGTGTTATCTTTTGTTCATTCAATATTATCTAATTTTTATATCTGTTAGGTATAGTGTGAGTTTGGCGGAGGAGGGATAATGGCATGGGGCTGTTGTTCAGGGGTTGGACTAGGCCCCTGTCAGGATACCCTGACATGCCCAGCATGCAGAACTTAAGTAATATATTAATGAAAATCCCAAGACGTATTTAAGAAATAAAAAGAAAAGTACAAAACAGGCTGAGGTCAGGAATACAGAGTATACGTAAATGGTAGGCAGGCCAAAGGTAAAGGAATAAAGAAGACAGAATAGTCAGGAAACAAGCTAGAGTCCAAGGGATACAGAAATCAGAATAGTCAGTAAACAAGGCATGGTCAAAATACACAAGAATCAATGCCAGAAACGCACGCTTGGACAATCACAATGGAAGCCACAACAGGGCCATGAGAAATGGACAAAAAAGGTTTAAATAGCCCAACGTGCTCTTTGTTTGGATGTAGAGGAACATGTGGCAGTGGAATGTGAGTGTGTTAGGAATCAAGGGGTTAACTAAGAACCTTAAAAAGGTTCTGACCTGCAGCGGCCGGCGTCTCTAATGTTTTCAGACCCGGCCACTGTGTGAGGGGAGGGGCGCCTGTCAGCTCCGACACGTGCTCTGAGTGAGGACAGTGTGCGCGCCAAGAGGGGGCAAGTAATCGGCAGCATTCCCATTGTCACGTGGGAATGCAGCCACATTGAGATGCACCTTCTGGGTCCCGGACCGCTTTCTGACAGTCCCTTGCTTCCAGTGAAGGGAAAACTTAAAGATTCATCATGCCTAGACATTTTGGACAATGCTATGCTTCCAACTTTGTGGAAACAGTTTGGGGAAAGTGCTTTTCTATTCCAGCAGGACTGTGCCACAGTACACAAAGCAAGGTCCATAAAGACCTAGTTGGATGAGTTTGTTGTGGAAGAATAGGCACAAACTCTCACAGAAACACGCCAAAATCTTGTGTGCAGTCTCCCCAGAATGGGGGGTGGGGCATATTAATGTCTATGTATTTAGAATGCAATGTCATAAAAGTACCTGTTGGTCCATATAGTATACGTAGGTTTGCATTTATAAGCTTTTATTGTTTCATCTGGATGGCACTACAGTAATACTATGTAATCAGATTTGGTTAGTCAGCATGTGGGCAATTCTGCACATGATAATCTGAGCAGAGTTCTCGGAGATTGATAATTGACAAATAGGCATTATATCTAGGAGGAATAAGGGTGGGGACCAACTAGGAATTACACTTTTCCGCTGTTAGAAGACCTATGAAAATAAAAGGAAAGGCGTAAGGAAGTAGAAGAATTGGTGGGGGTTTACCAGAGGTGTAAGAGGGGAGAGGAAAAAGGGGTAGAGAAAAAGAGACAGAAGAATATTAAGATTAAGTTGAATTGGTAAAGAGAAAGTGAACAGTTTACCCTAGGGTGCCAGGCTCAAGTCTGATAACCATGGATTCCACACTTTGTGAAAGTGTTTGGATGTTTCATGAATAATGGCAGTAAGTTTGGCCATGTCTACTATGTCCTCACCTTCCTGTGTATCACTGCCATAGCGGGAATGTGAGCTATTCCCCATTTTTCTGCTACAGCCTTTGTAGTAGCCAGGGCAGTTTTAGCAAGCAATTTGTTTTGAACTCTGATAAGGCTGATCAAGGGCTTGGTCAATAACCAAGCCAATCATCCACAGAGGCTGTTGTTTGAAAGAGACAGGACACCAAATTGGCTAATTCTATTCATAGTTTGATTTTTAGACAATGCCAGTAAATATGGATAGAAGTACCTCTTGACCAATTTTGCTGTTCTCAACAAGAGGTGTGAATATATTCATTTCACAGTTTGGTATAAATGTGGGTTGAGAATTTGTACTTTTGCCCTGATTAAACTATACAGAAAAACTGAGACGTGGACAATAAGAGTCACATTTTAATTAATGTTCCAGAAGTCCAAGGAATGCTATCCTTTTTTATTTTTCACAATTTAAATGCTGGATTAAGCCCCAGGCACCATAAATTCTTGAGTGCAAATCTTTCAGGTTATAAAGTATATAGAAAAACTGAGCGTGAACAATAAAAGTTAAGTTTCAATTTATATTCCAGAGGTCCCTGGAATGATTAACAAATTTATTTAAACACATCTTAAAATTCAAATTACATATTGTCTGTTGAACGTTTCTCTTCATTACTACTTCAGTTCTTAAATGTGAGGCTAGTAATAAATTAAAGGAACACACCTAAGAACCATAACCACTACGGTGTGCTGTATGGATTATGGTATCAAGAGTGCCATGCTGTAACCCCCACAGCAAGCAGCCAAACTGTGAAAAATTATGAAAAATCTTGTTCCTTTAAAATCATTAGCAGTGTCTATGTATGCAAATTAACTTTCCTGGTTTTTATTAAATGCTGAAAAAGGACACTTAAGAGGGCTTAAAGGAACACCAGAGGCACCCAGACTACTTCTGCTCGATGAAGTGGTCTAGGTGCAGTGTCCCAGGTTCCTTAATCCTGCAGTGGTAATTATTGCAGTTTTTAATAAACTGCAATAATTACCTGCCAGGGTTAATGCCACCTCTAGTGGCATTCTACCAGACAGCCACTAGAGGGACTTCCGGGTCATTGGGCGACTTTTAGATCCTATGCGCCGACTGACATCGGCAATGGAGGAGCGGAGGCGCAGCTTGGACCAAGGTGGAGATGTCGGTGCTCGAATCAGGTAAGTGAAAGAAGAGGTTTTTAACCCCTTCTGCACAACGGGGGGAGAATGTTGTTTTCCTGGCACTATAGTTTCCCTTAAAAAGCATATCTGTCTGCACTGCCATCACGAGATTAACATTTTATCAATGCATGTGAATGGAAAAGTGTACAATTTTCTCTTTCTCCTTGAGGACGACCTGCATTAGGAGTAGGCTTTATTGGTTTACACAAAGCAAGGAACGCAGGAATAGCCAGCAATTATTTAGTACCACTGGTACCATTTAGTAAGCTATATGATAAAACACACCTGAGGTTTTCGTTCCTGTTTCAGTTGCTAGTCACGAGTTGAGTAAACTTCAAAGTTCTCAGTGAAACCTGCAACTTACTTGCCAACCACTGAACATCAAAGACTGTATAAAAGCATATCAGGTGGAAGGTGTGACTAGTACTGCACTCAGCTGAATCCAATATCTACTTTGAGAATAGCCATTTGTGACACATTAAAAGAATTAAGCCTCTCAAAAAATGTAAACAAAGATTGAAAAAAAAAAAAAAAAAAAAGTACATAGGATAATTGTGAGAGAGGAATTAAAAATGTTTGCCAAAATTACCATTTAAAATGCAGGCGGGTGACATGAGCAGAGGGGGCTGAATAAAGTCATGTAAGCCATATGACAGCACATACGGTATATAGTTCACAAACACTACAGTGTTCCTTCAATGTTTTTGTTTCTCTTATTTTGGGAACTTATCTGTGGTGCTTGGTTTGTTTATATATACAGATATACACCATGTGCCCAGGGCAATACTACTAAGCACCATAACCACTACAAAACACTGCAGGGGTTATCTTGCCAAGAGTCCACTGGAGTAGTGCCCAGGGTAACAGTCAATCAGTTTTTATACAGTTTTACACTGATCTGGGATCCCTGGGTATCTAGGGTCTGCACCCTCTCCTTCTGCACCCGGTTATTGCTAAGAAATAATGTTGTCTCTACTTGAATGGAATTTGCGAATTAATTGACTGAGAGCGTCTGCCAATATTCTCAGCCAATTAAACTTGTCCAAACACAGGCACAAGAGGACTTTTTGCACCATACCCACTACAGCATGCTGTAAATTATGTGCTTAGACCATCCCTTTTAAATGTAAGTTTGACCAGTGTACATGTTGATAGAAGTTTCAATGGAGGGTTTGTGTCTTTCATGTGTGTTACCCAAGAGAGTCTGGACATCTCTGGGCTGGAGGCACGGTAGGGGCCTCTTCTTGCGTGCCTATCCCTATTTTCTCATTTCATTCGAATTTTGGCCTGTGTTTGATTAACAATATCTGAACATGTTTTATACAAGTGAACAAAAAGGAACAATGGAAACTTTGGGTTTAGAATTGCTCTTTTTTCCGCCCACAGTACATTGTCAGGAATCGGGTGACAGATATAAAGGGTTCAAAAACAGATGATTTTTATTCATCTAAACAAGGCTCGACTCGAAGTAATTTTAAACACGTCTGCAGCTTTAATTTTTAATTGAAGCAACTGGTGAATAATAGTTCACGTCACATCTTGATATTTTCATCTAGCGTCATGTACAGAAACACTTTAAGTACCACAAGCACAACAGTCTACAAACACACATGCAAGAAGCAGTGGTTGTGATACAAATAGGCAGTCTAAGAGTGAGGTAAAGCCCAAGAGATATGAGTAAATACTATTTAAAATATTTACTCCCAAGTATGGAGAAAATTAACATGAATTGCTATTTTGTGGGCGAAGTCAGCCTAAAAAGGCAGTTTTAGACAGTACTTTTGCCTGGCTACAACAAACAGTGCTTTCATTCAAAAAGAAGCAAAAAATAACACAGATCTATCTTAAAAAGCACTACAAGATTTTTGTAGTGCTATCATTGTACAACAACCTGTCAGTAACATTTACTGTTAGCGCCTTTTCCACTTGACATTAAAATTTTTATTTTTTTAAAATCCTCCTAGACAAAGCATTAACTAATGAAGCAAGTTAAGCAAAGAAAATAAAGTAGCTCTGACAATGTAATAGGTTTAAACAGATAAAACTGCATTGAAAGCGGAGAGTTATAGATCATTAAGATGATAGGGGTCAGGCAGGTAAACCTTATTCTATATATTTTGCTTGAGAAAATGAAATATCCAGCACCTATATACAGGGTGGCCCATAAGTCCCTACCCATCCATATATCTTATGTATCCAGTGTATCGGTGTGCTGGATGAGTAGGGACTTATGTAAATGAAAATATATACTTCGCTGAGGTTTACTTTAATGTGTTGCCTACAAGTGGGTTTAACTCTGTAGGGTCAGGGATACAGGTTTGTGTTCCTGACCATATAGTGTTCCTTCAACATAACTTATGAGTAAAGGTGGGGCAGAGCTTTAACCCCTTAAGGACACATGACATGTGTGACATGTCTTGATTCCCTTTTATTCCAGATGTTTGGTCCTTAAGGGGTTAAAATTAGGTTTCATGCTGTAAAAAGGTTTGGAGAGTTTTGAAGAAGAAAGAAAACTAGGTGTTAGAATGTGTGACAATGTTTTGTGCTGTGTGGCATCTATGTTAAATAGTTGGGAGATGGTCAGTGTAAAATGATTAAACTCCCTGAATACTACTAACAGGTGGCCAGACCTGATTGATTGGTTTCAATTCCAGTTTAAGGTGTATATATACTCTGTAGGCTTGGCCATGTAAAGTATCAACTAGAAAGGTTAAACAAATGCTGCATTGTGTCTGTCCATTCTACCTTACATTCCACTTTCTTAAGGGGAAAAAAAACCAAAAAACAGGGATTTATTCACTAAACAGTAATCTGAAACCAGAATTTGCCTTTTAATACAGCGGAGAATCTTACAGAAACCTCTGTCCACAGATAGAACTGCAGCCATGTCCTGGCCAAAACGGAGCATTGCTAGAGAGAGAATCCATAAGGAATCACACATAATAAAACAAAGCCACTTCATTTCTTTAATTGGCTCTACCACCCCACCACCACCGCTTACCCATCCTAGCTACCTAAATTCTTTCAAATACCGGTGTATCGTTATTCCTTAGGCTCAACTGCACAAATCAACCTCATTTCTACTAAGCACTATCCACCCTGGTTCCTTCTAACTATATAGCATGCTCTTCCAGCTTTCTGGAATCACAATCAGTCAATCACCTCCTCATTCCCTTCACATGTTACCAGTTACGGCAATTATACTATTAATTGTCTCTGCCATCACCTCTAAACACTGACTATCAAGCTGCTGTGAGGAGTACTAGTGTGGAAAACAAAAGGCAGCGTTGCGTGTGAGATAAAGCATTTCACGGTGGAGAGCACATATAGAGCGGTCATCAACTTATAAGCACCCAGACTCGTTGGTCAACATCACAGAGTTTTCCAAGGATTGCTCAGATAGGTGGAAGACCAAGTCTTCCCAAGAAAAAAAAATAAATCAAAGGTTGACGAAATGGCACAGAGTGATAAGGAGCGCTATGAACCAGAAAAGAAAACCTACATACCTTGTAAAGGAGAGAAGAATGGAAAGGAAATAGAGGATCCAAATGCACCAAAAATTCCACCTACTGCATTCTTCCTTTTCTGCTCTGAACATCGCCCACAAATAAAGATAGACAGCCCTGGTCTGTCTAATGCTCATACAGCAAAAACACTGGCAAACATGTGGGCCCAGCAGACACCAAGAGACAAACAGCCATATCAGCAAAAAGCAGCAAAACTAAAAGAAACATATGATAAGGATTTTGCTGCATACCTGGCAAAGTTCAAGGGTGATGTTGGCAAAGTAGTACCATGCAGGCCAGCTGGTTCTATGGAGAACGGTGAATCTGAAGGTGATGATGAGAAGCATGAGGAAAAAGAAGATGAGGAGGACAATGATGCTTTTGCTGTATACATTGTTCTGAAGCCCATCATGTTGCTAAGAATGGGAACTTAAAGGACCACTATAGGCACCCAGACCACTTCAGCTGGGAACCAGTGGCGTACACACGACCCATGGGGCCCCGCTGCGAATATTGATCCGTGAGCCCCCCCTTCGCGCTTACTCTGCGTGGGCCAGGGCCGCAACACATGGCAGTGGGCACGTGGTCGCAGGGCTGCGACCGCGGTATCTACGCCATTGCATGCAGATACACACACTTAAAGGACCACTACAGACACCCAGATCACATCAGCTCAATTAAGTGGTCTGGGTGCCAGGTCCCTTTAGTTTTAACCCTGCAGCTTAAAACATAGCAGTTTCAGAGAAACTGCTATGTTTCACTAAGGGTTAATCCAGCCTCTAGTGGCTGTCTCACTTACGCTTCCCACTGTGAAAATCTCAGTGAGAAGACGCTGGACGTCCATAGGAAAGCATTGAGAAATGCTTTCCTATAGGCGGTTTGAATGCGTGTGGCTCTTGCCGCGCATGCGGCAGTGACGTTGGCAGGAGCAGGAGAGTTCCCCAGGGCCAAGGGAGCCCAACGCTGGAGAAAGGTATGAGTTTGTTTTCCTGGCTTTATAGTGGTCCTTTAAGGACATATTATTTTGGGGACAAAGTAAACAGAATATTGGGATGATTGGCTACAATGCTTAGCACTATCACTAGGTGTCAGTATACTTTTCACACATACATGGTAATGACTGGTATAACTCATGTTGTTCTCTTCTGCAGTGCTTGATACTAAGTTGCAAATGTTTAACTATTCACTTGCTGATACAGAGATAGATAGAGATATCTGGTCTGTCCTGATGAAAGCTCTCTAATGGGAGCAGAAACATTGATATTTTTATGGATTATCTGAAATAAAAGCTAATTTTTGATTACATTTCAAGTACCAGGAGTGCAGTTTTTTTGTTTTTCCTATACTTCTTGCCAGACCAGCACTGGGCACCACTACAGCTTACCAGGAGTGCGAGCCACAGGAATATATATTCAATACATTGTTAAACACAGATCTGCACACCAGTCAAGCCATAAGACTTGCTTTTCCCACAGAAATCTCAAATTTGCAGTGATGTTATTACTGCAAGGGGATTCTGGGTGGACATATGCAAAATTAGTTCAACAAAGTATCAAATTTTTGCCTCATTATTCCATTTTAAACATGGGTTCCTTGGAGTTGGTTTTTCTGTGCACAACAGCTTTGAAACACAACTCAGGAAGAGATACAAAGCCAGTGAACCACAGATGTATAACGGAATCATAGTACTTTACTCCAGTATACCTGGTGCATTGTACTTGTTCTGTTTTAGCATTTTCCTTTTTTGTTTTTTGTAATAAAATTTAGAATGGGAAAAAAAATAAACAAACACATACTCTTATGTGGTTTTACACCCTGGATCATTTTACCCCAAAAATGCATATCCTATAGGAAACATGCTAGCAATAAAATAAATTTCTGGCAGTTACATTATTCCAAAACGGGTCACTTTGATCAAAGGCTGACCTGTATATAAAATGATTAAATGTTAAAAATTCCCAAGTGCCAAGAGTGAAAACAAAATAAACCAGGAACATGTAAATAAAATAGTAACGAATCATTTCTGAAATTAGCATTGAAAGTGTTTCTGTGCGATATTCGCATCCATAGGTAAAGACAGCACTGATAAGGGGTAACAGGCACAATTCACTAAGCAGTAAAATCAGATCCCATTTGTCAGATCTTAATAAGGAATGTCCATTAAAATAGATAACCCAGGCTGTATTGTTTAAATTAAAATATTCACCAGCATTTTCGTATATGGCATTCTCCAAAACAACATATTGGGCAGATTGAAGATATGTGATTTAATAAAAACCCAAGACGTGAGAAAATGGTGAGAAAACATTCTAGCCCATTTTGGGCTATGAAAAATTAAACTACAATCATTTTTTTCCTGCCACCAAATTCATCTCAACGAAGCGGACTGGGTGCAGTGTGAATGTCATTTTAATGCTGCAGGAATAGAAAACACATATTCCTATCACCATAGTGTTAAACTAACTGCTAATGTTACCACCCCATTATTGAAAAGGTGATTATGTTCTCTGAAAAGGCAGTGTTTACATTGAATAGCCTGTAGGGACAGGATATAGATACCAGAACTACTACATTAAGCTTTTGTGGTTCTGGTGACTATAATGTCCCTTTAAGTCCACCTCTTGTGGCTGTCAGCACCAAATATTGCACCAAGGAGTCACTCGTGGATCTATATTAATGAAAACCACAACAGTAAAAGATCCACTTAAATGGACTCTAGAAGTACCCATACCACTTCATCTCAATGAAGGAGGTCAGGGTGCCATGTCATTCTAGTTTGTAACCCTGCAACTTAAAACATTGCTGTTCTGCAGAAACAACAGTGTTTACATTGCAGCTTTTAAAGGTCTCTAGAGGTGCTCCGTAAAAACCATCTGATTGGCACAGTTCGCAGTTTTGCCTTGCATGTTTACTAACCTATCGGAAAACATTGGATTGGCTGGGATCATTGATCTCTATGTTCTCAGACAAGGAAGTATGCAAGCAGGATGGAGACCAGTACGGCGAGAGATGAAAGTCTGAAAGGGAAGTACAACTCACTATAGTGTTCCTTCAAAAATACAGACAAGTTTATTGACTAAAATTTGAAATGTAAGAAATCAAAGTATATCTTATATCTTGGTCTACAATAGCTGAACTGAAAATATGAAATATGTTATGTCATTTACCATCACGAACAAGTGTGTAATCAGGTCCTTGGGACTGTGGTGCTTTGAATGATTAACTTCAAATATCAGTACAACCTAGTCCGTTACCAGTCTTGAATTTTGTATTATTATTTATATAGCACCAACAAATTCCGCAGCGCTGTACAACGGGTGGACTAACAAACATGCAATTGTAACCAGACAAGTTAGATGGACAGGAACAGAGGGGATGAGGTTGTACAAACACAGTATAGCTTACTTAGGGCATGTCCAACGCCTTGCAGCAGTTTAGGACTTCCCATTCCACAAATCAGCTGGGTGGAAAGAAAGATAAGAAAAAAACAAGTTTCTAAGACACCAACATGAACAATGTAACCTTGAGAGATCCTAACAGCTCCAAGCAAGGAACAGTAATTGCAACTGTCAAAAACTCAGGGTGGGTATATCTTCACATGCTGACCTATAACATATGATGTAAATGGGTACTTCTTGGTCTCCTAGATTTCTAACAATAGTGCAGATCACAGGTCATAGACGGACACAGCCCATGCCATATTTAGTATGGGTCATGAGATCACCGAAAGGGGAACCTGGTATGCGCAGGCAGTGTTAAAGTAACATTTTAAGTACCATAACTACTACAGTACTGGTTCCCTGCCCCCCCAAATGTAAGGAATCAAATTGCTTAGTAACAGTTTGACTTCTCACCTGGGGTATGATGGACATCGCTAAATACCTACGTGCTGCTGAAAAGAGAGCTCCTGAGCTAAGACCTTAGTTTAATGTCAGTTGGCTGAGAGTGTCAGGTGATCGCTCTCAAGCAATGAGATACGCCCTGCACTCCTGGCACCATAACCACTACAATGCGCTGTAGTAGTTATGGTGCTTAGAATATTAATTTAATAAGTAGTCTGACATGAAATAGTGAACTTTACTGCAATGAGCATAAGTGGCTGTGAAGTATTTTAGTTTTGAATACAATGGTTCCCCACCATTGTGTTCCTATTAGGGACATTATATGAACAGTGCCATGTTTAGGACAGAATAAAATGCATTGCTGGAATTTAGAGGAAGCATACTAGATTAATTATTGTGCATGAAGCAGTCCATGAAAACGGTTAAAATCATTGCTTGAGTTTTATCTTCATCTCCTGAGGCCCAATCCAACTTTCCCATTTATTTCATGCAAAACGACTGAAGAGTACCGAGTTCAGCAGGGGGACATTGCTGCAAGTATACAGTGTGTGCACAGCACAGTTACTGCAAATTAAAAAGTTTGGCTTGGACAGTGTGATACAATATATAATAAGACTATAACTATATCTTCTTAAATTGTGCCAGTTATAGTCCTTGAAGTGTTCCTTTAACAGTCAAGTAGCATTTGTTTCCCACTTATATTTACATATGGGTATATTTGCATATGAAATATGGGTTCTTTCCAAAACGGCAAAATATGTCCTGCCAAAAACCAAAATAACACGCTATAGCTCCTATCGCTTGATCAACACACAAATATTTGAGCAGACATAAAATAATAAATTACAAAAGTGTGGCATTATCTGTCACACAAAAGGACAGGCAGAGCAGAAACCAAACTAGGTTAAAGAGTAAATCATGGTAAAGGATTAATAGGTGTAAACAGGTGTTACAGAAAGAGTGGTAGATGCCTGGAACAGCTGTCCAGCAGAGGTATTGTAATTAATATATTGGAGGAGTCCAAATGAAGCTTTTGATAGACACTGTGTTACCTGAGCAAGAAACACAACAATTCTTAGTTTCAAGTCCATTGCTGGGTGAATTTCAATGAATACATGAGTCAGTAATAGTAATAATACCAGTGTTACAGAGATGGGCTACACCTAGTATCAGTGAGCAACTCGCCCAGAGTGAACATGGTTTATGGCTTTATTTACGAATTGTAAAATTCAGACTATAACAACCAGGCTGTGACTATAGTGGATTTTTTCCCAAATCAGCTATTTTCGGCTAAATGTTGCTATTCTGTGTTCATATCGCAGTTTAGTGAATAGCCCCAGAGTGATGGTAAACACTCACCGCTCAGATAATTAGTCCACTTGTACAGTATCCCCTCCATGTCGGAGTCCCCGTGCTCCCCAGTCATCTAACACCCCGAGCCAGACAGCAGCGCAGGTCTAGAGACAATTCCTGGAGGTGGAATGGAACGCGGTGACGTCACAGAACGCCCATCCAACTGCTACTATCAGCAGGGCTCGAACAAGAAACTCTGTGTTCTGGAACCCGAACGCCCAATGTCCGCTTCTTCCTGCATCCTAACAGCAACCAATCGCGTACCACAACCAGCGCGTCCTAGCCAATGAGCGACGTCGGTGAGCTCTGTCTCCGCCTCACTTTTCCAGCCAATCAGAAAGTGGCGCTGCGGAGTTGAACGTTCCACCAGCTAGCGGTGGGTCCAGGAACAGCTGTGCCACGTCTGCTGGTGCTGAGGCGTTGATGGAGCTCTGAGAGGTCCTCCAGGCTCCTGTCATGACCGCTTAGGGGAGCATTCCTGGGGAAAGGGACCAACATGAAGCTGATCCTGCTTGCCGTGCTGCTTGCCTTGGCCTGGGGAGCCCTTATCCCAGAGCCAGAGGTGCAGATCGAGGTGATGGAGAAACCATTTATCTGTAAGAGAAGGACCAAGTATGGGGACATGTTGCTGATCCACTTTGAAGGATTCTTGGAAAAAAATGGATCTCAGTTTCATTCCACGTGAGTACTTACTCAGAGCTTCTCCTTTAAACCCAGCTTGCCTGTACATTTCTAATGCCAGATTAGACACAAGCCCAGCTGATTGTAAATTATCCCAAGGTTACTCGAGCTGCTTCTTGAAAACATCATCATTATTATAAATTTTTTTTGGTAATTTGTATCTTTTCTAATTTATGTGTAAGGACATTTTTATGTGTATTTGTAACCTCTTGTATCACATCTCTAAAGTGCGAAAATTTGTTGGCGCTATATAAAAACATAATGATAATATATTTTTTTTAAAAATTAAAAATATAACATTTTTTTTGTAAAATAAACCTTTTTTGCAGGTTATCCTGTGGTCTGCATCTGACAGCTCTGTTTTTATTTAATTATTTTATTATAATTAGTCACTCACGCTAAGCGCCAAACATTGGTCTCCTGTAACTTTTAATGGGAGAGTAAAATGGTGAGTGCATTCCTGTTTGCAAAATTGTCATGGAATTAATGCATGCGAAGACAGAAGCAATCCGCATCTCATGCATGAAACAGCAAACAATATTCAAATTGGATGAGATCCTGTAAAGTGAATCAGAGTGGTTGATAACTTGGACCTGTGTTAACGGATAAAAGAGATCCCTGCTCAAAGGAGCTTGCAATCTAGGAGGAAGGGATCATTCGACGATGGGGTATATTTGTTAATGATATCTGTCCCTACTCCCAGTGGCGGATCCAGAGCCTGATCTCGGGAGGGGCACTTGTAGATTATTTAAATAAATAATCCTGGCACAATAACCACTACAGCTCAGTGTAGTAGTTATGGTGCCAGTAGTGCCAGGATCCCACCCCAGAGTAAGTAGTCATACCGTTTAAGAACAGTTCGACAACTTACCTGGGGTCTGCTGGGATAAAGGCCTTGGAGCAGCGGTGTGTGTTAGGGGTGAAGTGTGTGTGTGAGTGCGTGAGGGCGGAAGTGTATGTCAGGGTTGCAGTGTGTGTGAGGGTGGCAGTGTGTGTATGGGGGCACTGTATGCAGGGCCGGCCTTAGGGGTGTGCGAGCTGTGCGACCGCACAGGGCGCCATGGAACAGGGGGCGCCCTGTGGCCGACACAGCTCACTCATGGCCGGAGTGCAGGGGAGCTAAAAGAGGTACCTGGCTGGAGGATTAATTATTCTCCACCCGGGTCTATTTAAAAAAAAAAAAAATCGCGGCAGAGGGGCCGGGGTTTACCGAGCGGCGGAGGCGGGGCTTATCGAGAGGCGGAGACGGGGCTAATACCTCCCGAAGCCCCTGCTGTACAGGAAGAGGGAAAGATGCTTCCCCATCAGCCAACTGCATCCACTGGAAAGAGGTAAGTGTGTGTGTGTGACTGTCTGCCTGTTTGTGTGACTGTCTGTCTGTGTGTGTGTGTGACTGTCTGTCTGTGTGACTGCCTGTCCTTTGTGTGCCTGCCTGTGTGTGTGTGACTGTCTGTGTGACTGCCTGTCCTTGTGTGTGTGTGTGTGTGTGTGTGTGTGACTGTCTCTGTGTGTGACTGCCTGCCTGTGTGTGACTGTCTGTCTGTGTGACTGCCCATGTATGTGACTGCCTGTTTGTGTGACTGTCTGTCTGTGTGTGTGTGTGACTGTCTGTCTGTGTGACTGCCTGCCTGTGTGCGTGTGACTGTCTGTGTGTGTGTGTGACTGTCTGTGTGACTGCCTGTCCGTGTGTGTGTGTGTGACTGCCTGCCTGTGTGACTGTGTGTGTGACTGTCTGTGTGTGTGACTGCCCGTCTGTGTGTGTGACTGCCCGTCTGTGTGTGTGACTGCCCGTCCGTCTGTGTGACTGCCTGTATGTGACTGCCTGCCTGCGTGTCTGTCTGTAACTATCTGTCTGTGTGTGACTGCCTGCCTGTGTGTGTGACTTTCTATCTGTGTGACTGCCTGCCTGTGTGTGTATAACTGTCTATGTGTGTGTTACTGTGTGTCTGTCTGTGTGTGTGACTGCCTATGTGACTGTCTGTCTTGTGTGTCGCTGTAGCTGTGCCATTGTTTGTGCCTGTGCCTGTATGTGTGACTGCCTTTAACTGAGTGTGTGTGTACATGCCTGTAACCGAGTTTAAATTTCCCCCACCCCTTCCTGTCAGGGCCGCACTTTGACTGACAGACGCTCACTCACTGACAGACGCACACTCACTGACGACACATACACACTCACTGACGACACATACACACTCACTGACTGACACATACACACTCACTGACTGACACATATACACTCACTGACCAGCACACACATTCACTCACAGACACACACACATTCACTTACAGACACACACAATTACACACTTACAGACACACACACACACACACACACATTCACTTCAAAATAAACACTCACAGACACACACACAGACATTTCCACTAACACTCACAAACTAATATTTTTTACATTTATTTTAAATCCACCCAGCCTCCCTGGGAAAGCTGGAGTGGATTTCTTACCAGCAGTCCAGTGTGGCTGCTGGGCAGGCAGGCAGGGGGCGCACAGGCTGAGTAAGCAGCGCTTAGTGATGCCGGGAGCCGGACTGACGTCATATTCTGGCTCCCGGCTTCATTAAGCGGCGCAGAGGAAGCTGAGCAGGAAGAGCTCAGGTGAGTATGCTCCTTCGCTGCCCGCTGCCAGCCTTGGGGGGGCTCAAAAGTGGCCAGCCGGTCAGCTCTTGAGCCCCCCAGGATGCGAGGCAAGCAAGGGATCTGCCTGGGGGTTTGGAGGGATGCTTTTTTTTGCCGCCCCCTGCAAAGTGGCGCCCAAGGCAGATGCCTTGTTTGCCTCGTGATACACACGTCCCCGGTGCCTGTGTGTGTTACTGTATTCAGGCAACTTGGTGGGAGGTGGGGGGGGCGCCGTGAAGACTTTTTGCACAGGGCGCCTAATTGCCTAAGGCCGGCCCTGACTGTATGTGTGTGTATGGGGAGGGCATTTTATGTATGGGGGGCAGTGTGTATGTGGGGCAATGTGTGTAAGGGGGGGCAGCAGTGTGTAGGGCACTGTGTGTGTGTATGGGTGTGCAGTGTTTGTGGGGCAGTGTGTGTATGGGTGGGCAGTGTATGTGTGTGTGGGGGGTGCAGTGTGTGTGTGTGTGTGTGTGTGTGTGTGGGGGGCAGTGTGTATGTGTGTGGGGGGGGGCAGGGTATGTGTGTGTGTGGGAGAGGAAGGAGGGTATGGAGGCTTTTAAAAAAAAATAAATAAAAAAAAAGTATTTAATAAAATATATTGCTGTCCCCCCTCCCTTCTTACCTTTGTTGAGGAGGAGGGGGGACATTTCTCCATCCCTGGTGGTTTGTGGTGAAGTCTAGCCCGCGCTCCAGATTTTTCTGTTGGCCCTATATAAATGGCAATAATAATAATAATAATAATAATAATAATATTGGGAGGCTATTGTGCATGCTTGGAAAAAGCTACGCTGCCCCAATCAACATATCCTCATAGAGATGCATTGAGTCTCTGCATCTCTATGAGGAATGTTCAGCTCCTCAATGCAGAGCAACAACGTGCTGCACATTGTGCAGCACTGACCCAGGAAGCACTTGTGGTGGCTGCCACTAGAGGTGTTACTAGGCAGCAATGTAAACACTGCCTTTTCTCTGATTTGTTTGACGATGGAGAGCAGAAAAGACCACCCATGGGTGGTCCTTTTGCTCTCCCAAGCATACCAAACACAGTCTGTGTGCTGTAGTTGCTATGGAAACTCCCTAGCCAATGCTGCTATTGCTGGCTAGGGAACATAGGTATGGAAAGACTGTTGTCTGCGTCACTGAGTAGGTTTTCCTGTGTGGGGCACTTTTCCCAAGCAGGGCAAATAAAAATATTGACGCGGGATGTCCTCATGCACAGCGTGAAGACGTCCAGAGTAATTTAGGCAAATTTTGGTCACCTAATCACCTGGAAGTCCCTCTAGTGGCAGTCTGGTAGACAGCCACTAGAGGTAAACTTAACCCTGAGAGGAAATTGTTGCAGTTTCTCAGAAACTGCAATAATTACCACTGTTGGGTTAAGTGGCATGGGACATAGGACACTTCAATGAGCTGAAGTGGTCTTGGTACTTATAGTGTCCCTTTAATAGCAGGGCCGGCACATCCTATAGGCGACTTGGGCAGGAGCGCCGCCCCCTCAAATGCTGCAGCCGCCTGAGTGCTCTATAGCACTGCCAGGTCTGGTGCGTCCATTAGGGCACAAGATATAAGGGATCGGCAGGAGGGAAGCATACAGTGCTCCCGCCTGCCAGTCCCTCAGTGTAGCATGGCCGAGCTCCGCTCCAGGCAATGGTACAGGAGCATCTGTTTCCTGTACCCGGCCAGACTGGCAGGAAGTGCTTACTCAGTGAGCATTTCCTGTCAGTCCGGCTGGGTAGAGGAAACAGAAACTCCTGTACCGCGGCCCGGAGCACGGCCACGCGACAATAGAGTCCACTGAGGGAGGATGGATGGAGGAGAGACCACTAAGGGAGGAAGGGGGAGTGAGGAGAGACCACTAAGGGTGAGGGGTAAGGAGACACCACTAAGGGAGGGATGGGAGTGGAGGAGAG